CTCCACGCCTGTGCGAATAGCATAGGCTCCCATTTGACAAATACAAAAAAGTCAAACAACAACCAAAAAGAACAAAAAATAGAGCAATGCTTAGCAGAGCATATTTCCATTTGGAAGGAATCAAATTTAGCCAAGTACTAAAAGGATCTAGAGCTAGAGTGATTATAGCAGTGATGTGTTTGTTTAAATCTTCTGTGGCTTCAGTTTTCGGGTAATTTGGAGTATAGACACAACATTCTGTTTGTTTTTTTTAACTCTATTTATTTTGAGAGAGAGCGAGCACAGGAGGGGCAGAGAAGGAGAGAGAGAGAATCCCAGTCCACACTGATAGCACAGAGCCTGATACGGGGCTGGAACCTATGCATTATGGAATCATGACCTGAGCCACCCAGGCGCCCCTGACGTAACATTCTGTTTTAATGAGGGTATAGTTTCCTTCTTGGGCTGCAGGGATAGTATTAGGGGCCATGCTGTTTTCTGTTTCCGTTTTGTCTTGTTCTTTTCGAGTTTGAGCATGAGAGAGAGACAGGGTGGGGCGGGGGCAGGGGGCAGAGTGAGGGGGGAGTGGGGGGAGAATGTCTTAAGCAGGCTCCTTGCTCAACATGGAGCATGTTGAGCATGGAGCCTGACATGAGGCTTAATCCCACGGCTCTGGGGTCATGACCTGATCCAAAATCAAGAGTCAGACCTTGACCGACTGAGCCATGCAGGTGCCCCAAGAGCCATCCAGTTTTGAAGGACTACTTTTCGAATTTATGTGGTCATCATTTAAGAGGGTGACTATGTGCTGGGTTTAGTTAGAGATGGTCACTGCACGCTTAGCTAAAGCCTTGATTTGTAATTCTGCAATGATAGAGGAGCTCCTGGGACAAATATGATCAAGGGATAAAACCATCAAGAAACCCTCTTTGCCTGAGGTCTAGCTTTAACAATGTCCTAATTACGAGGAGTCTCCAGCAAGTGGGAGACAACTCCTAGGAGTTATAGGTGTCCCCAGGTGTATCATCCAATCAGTCATCAGGAAGGTGGGCCATCCCCTGATTCCACAAGTCCACAGCTAACCCATGGAGCAGGGACACTCCGGCTTTTGAGGAGCGATTTTGCCATCCCCGCCATGTAGAATCAGTCAAGGTGATAGTTGACTTACACAACTGTTGGGGAGTCCATCCTGTTGCCCAACTGTTAAAATAATCACATGTCCATGGGGTCCTGTCATTATTCCCACAGAATAGTAGGCAAGAAGACTGTACGTGAGGTGTTGTGGCAACTCTGAAGTTTACCTCCAGTTGTCTAGCTCAGGCAGGCAGCAAACATCCAACAGCAGTCAGAGCTAGAATTTCATATCCCGAAAGGCGTGTTAGTGAAATATAAATTTTCTCTCTAAAATCACTCTCATTTTCATCAGAGAGAGCCAAAGTAAGACGAATTTGTTTGTTTAAAAAAAAAAAAAGATCCAGTTTTAACCAGCTTGGCCTAATTATTGGCATAATTCGTAAGTATTGGCCTGATCCCACCGGCATCAGAATAGTGACTATAAGTTCTTATAAATCTCCTTTGCTGGAACTTTTAAAAAAGATTTTTTTTAATGTTTTATTTATTTTTGAGAGAGAGAGACAGCATGAGCAGGGGAGGGTCAGAGAGAGGAGACACAGAATCTGAAGACAGGCTTCAGGCTCTGAGCTAGCTGTCAGCACAGAGCCCGATGCGGGGCTTGAACCAAGGAACTGTGAGATCATAACCTGAGCCGAAGTCGGACACTTATCCGACAAGCCACCCAGGCATCCCTGCTGGAACTTTTTATAATGAATTTTAGATTGAACTTTTAATAGCCTCTCGGGGCCAGAAAACAAGCCGAATACTTGCCAGCAGATTTGCCTTCGATAAGGGCACCTGGGTGGCTGTCGGTGAAGTGTGCGACTTCAGCTCAGGTCATGATCTCAGTGTTCATGAGTTCAAGCCCCGCATCAGGCTCTGCACGGACAGCAGGGAGCCTGTTTGGGATTCTCAATCTCCCTCTCTCTCTGCCCCTCCTCCACGTTCTTGGCCGTTCATATGCATGCTGTCTCCCTCTCGAAATGAATAAACAAACTTAAAGAAAAAAGAATCCCTTTTCTTCTTTTTTTAATTTAATTTATTTTTTTATTTATTATTGAGAGATGGAGAGACAGAGCAGGAGCATGGGAGGGGCAGAGAGAGGGGGAGACAGAGTCTGAAGCAGGCTGTCAGCACAGAGCCCGGTGCGGGGCTTGAACTCACAAACAGTGAGATCATGACCTGAGCCGAAGTCGAATGCTTAACCAACTGAGCCACCCAGGTGCCCCAAAAAGAATCCCTCTTCTTGAGGCCCCCAAAATATCCTAAGGTTTCCTACACCTATCAGGAAGTGACCTTCTTGTTTTACCTAGTAAAGTGGGGGGAACTCTAAGCGAGGTATCAGGGCAGCATTTGCAAGGGCTCCGTTGGCTCCACGAAGTCAACCTGAATTAGTTCCGTAAAGCTGTGTGGTCATATTGGAGTCGACGCGTGCCTCTCGAGTAGGACATTCCCGTCAAAACTGTGGTAACCTAACCAGCATCTCCAGTGTTGTCCTGTCACAAGGAGAACAGATGTTTATTGAACTTATACAAATAATTGTAATTGCCATGAAAGAAAGAATACTCACTAAGAGTTTGCAACCTAGAGGGTTTGGGACGGGACAAAAGATAAATGTTTTAGTTTGTTCACAGAGGAATATTTACCATGTTTATGCAAGTTGTAGACATGAGAAACAGTTTCCTTAAATCTGGGAGAGCAAACGTTAGAGAGCCAGCTCAAACAAGAGTCACACGACTACCGTCATCTTCCTCAATTCATTCAGTCCCGTGTTACTAATTCTTAGTTCTGTTTGAATGCAGCTTTTCCTTTAGTTCCAAAACTTCTTACCCAGTTTAATTTTACAATCTTGAGGATGTCAGAAACCTGTATTTATCAAAAGCACTTTCAATGAATCGCCTTGAAGATGAAATGTATTTTGCAAGAGCAAAGGCACAATAAGTATAAATGACTCAAAAATGGCCGTGTTTAGAGATCTGATGAGAGTGCATTATAATGCTGTTGACAAGGAAATCCAATTATTTCTGTGAGGTTTGGGGTGATGGGTTCCTGGGTCCCAGAGCCGATGACCAAGAAAGAATTCTTGAAGATGTCTTTGGGGCAAAAAGGAGATTTTATTAAAGCTCATGGACAAGAAGAGCTGCACTGGGGCTGTGGGGAGACACTGTTTTATTGGGGGCTGTGGAGATAAAGTCAAGAGGGAGTTGCCCAAACAGACTTTCACACGCTAGACTCGCTGGAGGCCTACCTATTGTCAGGCTAAGGTTGTTTCTTCCTGTTGCAAATTATTAAGACTGTTGGGAGTTAGTTCCTTTACGTTAGGCTATCATGGGATTCCCTTTTTCTGGTAAACTGGTGGATATTCTTATCAGTTTAACCATTTTTTTTTTGTCCTTTCCTGTTTTTGGGTAGCCTAGAGTGTCCAAGGAATATCGTGCCTGTCCCAGGGCGGGGATGAAGTGGGGGGTGGGGGTTCAGTTGAATTGAATGGGGGACAGGATGGGGGGAGGTTCAATTGAATCCAAGTTCAGTTCTCATCCTTGGGAGCTGTCCTCCCCGGCTCTGGTCTCTTGTCTTTCGGGCTGTTGGTTCTGGCCTTCCAGTCATCCTTCCAGAAGAAAACAGACTTTGCACCTGAGTGAGTAACCTTCTCTGTCGGCTTCCTGCCTATAAAAGATTGAGGGGGTCCAAAGGCCCGTTTTCATTTTGTTCTGCTCTTTTTCAAGAGGGTGTAAGGCCTTTAGAAAGGCCGTGGGCTTTCCTAAAGTTTCCGTTTTAATCCACTCTGTTAGACAAAAGCCACCCAGAAATCTCTTCTTTCAGATAAGCTTCTCTCTGTGCTGGGTTCCTGGTGAGGATGCTAGAGATTCTTAGAAGCTCTGTTTACAGAGGGTGCACAGGTCTCATCCTTCTGTGTCGGCCTTTTGTGTGTCTGGAATGGTCGAGAGGCACCACCTCTCATCTGTCTAAGGGCCTAACAAAGGGTCATATGGCTCCACCCTCGCGGTTGACTTTCTGTCCTGAGGCCATCTCCTTTTTGTTTTTTTTTTTAATTTTTTTAACATTTATTCATTTTTGAGAACCACAGAGAGAGAGTGTGTGAGCAAGGGAGAGGCAGAGAGAGAGGGAGACACAGAATCCAAAGCAGGCTCCAGGCTCTGAGCTGTCATCACAGAGCCCAGTGTAGGGCTCGAACTCATGAGTCTTGAGATCATGACTGAGCCAAAGTCGATGCTTAACTGATTGGGCCACCCAGGCGCCCCCTGAGGCCATTTCTTAATATGCAAACCCTTTGCCTCCTGGAGGTGCAGGGGGATGAGAAACTTACTTTTTAACCTCCAGAGTACTGGCTGAGTTTCTTATATTCTCGAACTTCCACTAAGAAACTGAGTAGCTTATTCTTCCATTGATCTCTCTCCTGTCATTATAGAAAGTAGGCAAAGCCCGCAGCTGCAACCCTCTGCCCAGAAATCTTTTTAGTTAGATCATCAGCTCATGGGTACATTTTCTGTTTTCCACATCGTCACTGGCAACAGCTTTCTGAACATTCCTGCGTCTCCTTTCCTCCATCAGATTCCATATTTGAAAACAAAAAAATCACAAAAATAATCATGACATGAAGTACTGTCTCTGTTTTTCTTGTTGCCCTCGCCAGGAAGCACCACCCCCCCGGCCTTCTCACCTGGCCTTGGGGCCATTGCTCATGTTTTGGGGTTTTCTTAGAGCAGCCCTCTGTTTGCTGGTACCACATTTCTGATCCGGTTTTTATTGCTGTGTAACACATCAGCGCCAAGTAGTGACACAGAACAACGGTCCCCTCGTTCTGCTTGCACGCTGTGCGGGTCAGGAGGTGGCAAGGCAGTTTCTCGCTTGCTGTGTCATGTGCAGGTGCAGGCTTGACCGAGCCTATGGTCCAGCAGGCCACCCCCTCCCGCCCCGCCCTGGTTGCTGCCAGCAGCTGCGCGGAGGTCGGGGCGCTGTCCCCTGGCCCAGTGGTCTCAGAGCACTTGGACCTCTTCCATGGCTCTGGCTGCCCTCAGAGTGACATCCTCAGGGAGCTGGGTGGAAACTGCATGGCCTTTTGTGACCTAGCCTCCAAAATCACATGGGGTCACTCCTGCTGGGTAAAGAGCAGGGGTGACAAGCCCGCCCAAATGCAAGGGGAGGGGAATCCACTCCACCTCTTGGGAAAAGTATCAAAGAATTTTCAGACATGTTTGGAAACTGCTTGCACCTGGAATGGTATCGGGAAAAAAGAAAACCTCGGTATGTCATTGCATCCAGTAAATGGGCCGGTGTGCCTCCCTCATTGTATTTGCTCATCAGTCTTTGGGCAGGTGCCGTGGGACCCAGGAATAACAAGCTGATGTTACAACAGGGCTTGTGTTTGTAATGTCTTCTTGAAAAACAGAGACATGTACTCCACACTGTATACCTTTTATTCCTAATGAATTAGAAAGCTAAATATTGTTTTCCAAAAGTCACAGAGTTGGTAGAGGGAAAACATAGAAGGATGATTATATACTTTTGGAATAGGGAAGGTCTTTCTAATAAGCAATGTTTAAAAGCCTCGGAAGCCACAAGGGAAAATTTTTAAAATATTGGACTCCACCAAAATGTTGAATGTCCGTACAAGAGAAGATACCATAAAAGTAAACCAGGTAGAGTATTTGCAATCTACATAATACACAGCAGCCTAGACAATGCAATGCAGACGGAAAGCAGTGTTGCTTAGGGCCATAGGAAGGGTGAAAGGAAAGGGCTCAAAGTAAAAATACTTAACACCTGATAGATCCCATTCATGTGTTTCTAAAGATCACCTACACATCCATTTTTGAAAGATATGGGTAACAGAAAAAGGATATGAATGAGTGATTCATGGAAAACTATAAATGGTCAATTAATATGAAAAGATGTATAGCCTCGCTACTGATTAAACAAAGAAGAATTAAATCTGCAATGAGACTTTTCTACCTGTCAGACGATCAGAGATGAAAAAGAATTGTGATATTTCAGTACCGGCAAAGAGGCTGGGACATCGACGGTCTCATTTCCTTACTGTTCTTTGTTCCTTTGTAGGTGAGGTGTATTTTGTCTCTGGCTTCCTTCGGGATTTTTTTTTTTAATCTTTGATTTTCTGTAGTTTAAAAAGGATATGCCCGTGTTGAGGCGTAGTGTTTTGGGACCTGTATCCTGCTCACTGTTCTCGGAACTCCTATGTGTGTGGTTTGGTGTCTGACTGATTGGTGGGAATTCTCAGTCATGTTATTTCAAATATATATATTTTTAATGTTTATATATTTTTGAGAGAGAAAGACAGAGTATAAACAGGGTGAGGCAGAGAGAGTGGGGACAGAGGATCCAAAGCAGGCTCCTACTGACAGTGCAGAGCCTGATGTGAGGCTCAGACTCACAAACTGTGAGATCGTGACCTGAGCTGAAGTCAGACACTTAACCGACTGAGCCACCCAGGCGCCCCTATTTCATTTATTTTTTATGTTCCTTCTCTCCTTCATGCATGTGTTATATCTCTTGTAGTTGTGCCACAGCCTTTGGATGTTCTGTTCTGTTTTTTCAGCCATTGCTCTCTTTGCTCTTGACTTTTTCAAGTGTCTATTAAGGTTTCCATTGCTGTATCTTCAAGCTCAGAGATTCTTTCCTCTGCCACATCCAGTCTGCTAGTAAGCCCATCACAGGCACTCATCATTTCTCTTATGGAGTCTTTGTCTATCATTTCCTTTTTGTTTTTTCTTAGGATTTCTGTCTCTCCATAAACATTGCCTATTCTTGCATGCTGTGTACTTTGTTCATTTGATACCTTAGCATATTAAACCTAGTTGTTTTAAGTTCCTGGTCTGACAATTCCAACATCCCTACCCTATCTGGTTTCTGTGCTTGCTCTCTTTTCCAGCTATGTATTTGGCCTTTCAATATGCCTTGTAATTTTCTCTTGATAAACAGCCGTGAAGTACTGGATAAGAGGAACAGCTGTAAGTGGGCCTTTAGTAGCATGGTGGAAAGGTGTGCAACGTGCAAGTTCTGTGGCCCTGCGATTGGGCCCCTGTCAGCTGTTAGTGAGCCTGTGCCTCTGGACTGTGAACTCACTCGTGCTTTCCTCAGTGTTCTTGCCCTCCCCAACCCCCCATATGTGGGACAGGATGCTACAGTGGGCTGAGTTTGCATATTTCCTTTCCCCGTGTCCCTTAGTCTCTAGTCGACTAGTTTCCCCTAGGGGCCGGCCTTGTTGAGAATGGAGTCCTCTGGCTGATTGCAGAATGGTACCTCTTGTCCCCAACTGCCAGGAGCATATGGGGATTTTTCTCTGGTATTTACTGTGGGAACCTGATCAGGCTCCTGGAGGTAAAGTGTGGGTCCCCTGTGACCGGGTCTCTTTGCTCCACATGCAGGCCCAGCACTTGGTCTGTTACATTTAGGGTTTTCCCCCTTCCTTCCTTCCTTCCTTTCTAAATTTTTTTAATGTTCATTTATTTTTGAGAGACAGATTGCATGCAGGCAAGGGGCAGAGAGAGAGGGAGACACAGAATCCAAAGCAGGCTGTCAGCACAGAGCCTGACATGAGGCTTGAACCCACAAACCGTGGGTTCATGACCTGAGCCAAGGTTGAACCCTTAACTGACTGAGCCGCCCCGGCACCTTACATCTGGGGTTGTCTCACTGAGCACGGGCCCCCGTGAGGTGTGTTGTCCTGAGGCTATGCCCCGGGAAGCCGCAGACCCTGTATTCACTGATCTGTCTCCAGTCTTGGGGCCTCTGGTTGGCCCTGTGTCCTTGCGTTTCTCTTGGATCCAGTAGGAGTTGTTGATTTTTCAGTCTGCTAGGATGAAGTGGTGATTTCTAAGCTCTTTACATGCAGAGCCAGAAACTGATTTACTGTTGGTGGAGTGGATATTGGTACAGTATGTAGTAAAGCGATCTTAATTTTCTTACTAAAATTAAAACTATGCATGCTCTTTAACCTAGCATTTCCACATTTATGAAAGCATAAAGATGTAAGTACCAGAGGGGTTTTTTTTTTTGCAGTAGCATTTTATTTTATTTTTTATTTTTTTAAATAGTTTATTGTCAAGTTGGTTTCCTAGAACACCCAGTGCTCATCCCCACAAGTGCCCTCCTCCATGCCCATCACCCCCCTTCCCCTCCCCCCCACCCCATCTGCCCTCAGTTTGTTCTTGGCATTCAAGAGTCTCTCATGGTTTGCCTTCCTCCCTCTCCCCCAGTATTTTTCCCCTTCTTCTCCCCCATGGTCCTCTATTAAGTTCTTCCTAATCCTCCTATACGTGCAAACATATGGTATCTGTCCTTCTCTGCCTGACTTATTTCACTCAGCATAACACCCTCAAGGTCCATCCATGTTGCTACACATGGCCAGATTTCATTGTTTCTCATTGCCGTGTAGTATTCCATAGTATAGATAAACCACATCTTCTTCATCCATTCGTCCGTTGATGGACACTTAGGCTCTTTCCATGTTTTGGCTATTGTTGAGAGTGCTGCTATGAACATTGGGGTACATGTGCCCCTATGCATCAGCACTCCTGTATCCCTTGGGTAAATTCCTAGCAGTGCTATTGCTGGGTCCTAGGGGAGTTCTAATGTTAATTTTTTGAGGAACCTCCACACTGTTTTCCAGAGGGGCTGCACCCGTTTACATTCCCACCAACAGTGTAGGAGGGTGTCCGTTTCTCCACATCCTCGCCAGCATCTAGAGTCCTCTGATTTGCTCATTTTAGCCACTCTGACCGGCATGGGGTGGTATCTCAGTGTGGTTTTGATTTGTATTTCCCTGACGAGGAGGGATGCTGAGCATCGTTTCATGTGTCTGTTAGCCATCTGGATGTCCTCTTTGGAGAAGGGTCTGTTCATATCTTCTGCCCATTTCTTCACTGGGTTGTTTGTTTTTTGGGCATGGAGTTTGGTGAGTTCCTTAGAGATTTTGGATATTAACCCTTTATCCGATATGTCATTTGCAACTATCTTTTCCCATTCCGTTGGTTGCCTATTAGTTTTGTGGATTGTTTCCTTTGCCGTGCAGAAGCTTTTCATCTTGACGAGGTCCCAATAGTTTATTTTTGCTCTTGATTCCCTTGCCTTTGGGGATGTGTCAAGTAAGAAATTGCTGCGGTGGAGGTCAAGGAGGTTGTTTCCTGCTTTCTCCTCTAGGGTTTTGATGGTTTCCTGTCTCACATTCAGGTCCTTAGCATTTTAAAATACAGGAATGGTCAAATAAAATAAATAGTTACACAATGGAATGCTCTCCACCTGCTAAAAAGAAATAAGGTAGCTTGGTATATGCTGACATGGAAAGGAGTCTAAGGCACATTAAGTCGAAGGAGAAGAAAGCAGGTTGGCAAACAATATGGTTTGTTTGTTGTTTTTTTTTAATGTTTTATTTATTTCTAGGAGAGAGAGAGACACACACACACACAGCGTGAGCAGGGGAGGATCAGAGAGAGAGGAAGTCACAGACTGAAACAGGCTCCAGGCTCTGAGCTGGCAGTCAGCACAGTGCCCGACGCGGGGCTCGAACCCACGAACCGTGAGATCATGACCTAAGCGAAAGTCGGACGCTTAACCGACTAAGCCACCCAGGCGCCCCAATATGGTTTTTTTTTAAGGTTTATTTTTGAGAGAGAGAGAATGCTCATGCACTAGTGTGTGTGAGGAGGGGAGGGGCAGAGAGGGGGAGAGAGAGAATCCCAAGCACAGAATCAATGTGGGGCTCGATCCCACAAATGATGAGAACATTACTGAGCCCAGACGCTCGACCAACTGAGCCATCCAGGGGCCTCAGCAAATGGTAAGTTTTTCAGATTTAGTTTTTGTCTAAAACTTACTCATAACAGGGGCGCTTGGGTGGCTCAGTCAGTTGAGCATCCAACTCTTGATTTCAGCTCAGGTCATGATCTCACAGTTTGTGGGATCAAGCCCTACATCCAGCTCTGAGCTGACAGTGTGGAGTCGGCTTAGGATTCTCTCCCTCTCTCTCTGCCCCTGCCCTGCTCTCATGAGTATGTTCTATCAAAAAGGAAAAAAAGGGGGAAAAAACCCAACTTATTCATAGTAAAAATGAAGCCATGCTTAGAGAAGAAAGAATATTTTGGAAGAACATCTATCAGAAAAACCACTGGCTGCCTTTGAAGGACAATGTTTAAAGCTGTTAATACATATCAGTGACATTTGTGTCTTGTATGATGCATGTATATTTGATACTTAGGTAAAAATTCAAGAGAGAGAGCAGGCAGTAACAGATAATTGGGAACAATAGAATGGAACTGATTGTTTCCATCACGTTCCCAACATCCAGGTAGTAATGCAGTAGTAATCGTGAACTTAATTTTAACTTAACCTTCTGGGAATACTCTGGTAGCCTAGACACAAGTAACTGGAAATTGCAAATCTCTTTGCGTCTCTTGCCCTTTCAGAAGGTGCCGGCCATAAGTTGACAACAGTTCCAGACAGAAACACCCGTGAACGTTTTTTTTTTCCATGTAGAATTTTTTATTGTTGATTCTTCTTGTTAAATTATTTATGAAGGACAATTTCCCTTCTGCAGAGAAGCGGTTTCTTTGGCTCTGTGGTGTTGAGATTAGTGGTTTGTTGTACCCAAGAGATGTTTATAAAAGACTTTTTTACAACATGTATCTCTCCCTTAAAGAGCCGACTAAAAAGTAGGTTAGCGGAGCAGTGATATGTGTGAGAGCTGTTTGACTTCCATGATAAAATACGATCTATAGCTACAGTTTTCCTGCTCTCGTGATATCTGAGATCTAAGCACCTGTGATGTGACGACTGAGTTACTTGTCCTGTTAACTTGACATCTAAATTTCATTTCCTGCTTTACATCCTGTTTTGAGTTTCTGGATCTAATTCCATCACGTGTATGTGGGGGGTGGGGCTTCCCTCACGACACCAGGCAGTTCTCGGACTCCAGCAAAATTCTCCTACGGTTACGCTGTGATACTCTCTACCCGGAGGTAGCCTCAGATTCCCTGGGGGAAGGGTTCAGTCCTACCAGACTGCTCCGGCGCCACCCTGTCCGCCCACTTCAGGCGCCACTTGCAAACCCAAGTTGTCACCTGAATTTCCGACCAGCCAGCTGTAACCAGAGGTTCCCAAGATCCCCTGCTCAGACTTGATTAACTTGTTAGAACAGCTCACAGAACTCAGAGAGACATTTTACATAGTGGATCACTGATTTATCAGAAAAGGATAGGACTCAGGAGCGGCCAGATGGGAGAGATGTGCAGGGCCAGGTGTGGGGAAGGGGCGTGGAGCCTCCGCGCTCTCTGAGCCGCCACTCTCCCCGATTCTCCCCGTGTTCACCAACCCAGAAGCCCTCCAAACCCTGCCGTTTTGGCTTTTTATAGAGGCCTCATTACATCAACATGACTGATGAAGTCATTGGCCATTCTGCTGCCCCCCCGGGGTTGGGGGTTGAAAGTTCTAAACGTCTAACACATGGTTGGCACCACTGGCCACCAGCCCCCATCCTTAGACGCTTTCCCGAAGTCACCTCATTAACAGAAGAGACATCTTTAAGCCCTTGTCACGCAGGAAGTATGTGTGAGAGCTATACACCTGGTCATCTGAAAGATCAAATATCTCTGTTTCTTATAAATCACAGTGGCATGCATCCTGACATAGCTTTTTCCCCCCCTGCCTGTGTCTAATTTGTGTTGTTCTAAATGATTAACTTTATATAATGACTTTGTGTTCTTGTTTTGCCCTCTGTGAATTTCCTCCTAACAGAAGTCCTGGAGCAGACTTGGGTGCCAAAAAGAAAAAGAAGAAACAGAAGCGGAAAAAGGAGAAACCAAATTCCGGAGGCGCCAAGTCAGACTCGGCCTCTGATTCCCAGGAGATTAAAATCCAGCAGCCTTCCAAAGTGAGCCCCCTGTTTTACTGTCCCCTCTGTGATATCTCAAGCACGTGAGGGCCGTTTGTGCAGCTCGGCGCCCTGTTGGGCACCCGTAGGGGTCTGCTGTGACTGTGCCGGCTGGCGCTGTAACTGGAGGCTGTCCACGGCCTCCCTGAAGCCGATGTTAGAACCTGAGTGACTAAGAGGTACACATTGCGTTGTTGCGTATATGTGGATACAGGCTGGTGTTTTCCTTTATCTCAGGGCAAGTTAGTTTGCAGATTGCAGCAAAAGAAGTTAAGTCTCGTTGTGAGCTTGTTAGGTGTGCTGTTTTTTGATTTTTTCTTTTTTTGAAGTGACACTTGACTATTTAATTACTTGTAGTCCAGAAGATATTCACATTTTCATTTTTCTGGGTGTCTGTCTAATTACCCGAATAGCACAACACCATTGGGCAGCAGATTTCGGCGGGAGCAGCCACAGGTAAGTCCTCCATTGACTTTGGGTCCAACCAGTCTTCGGTGGCCGTTCATACAGTCCATCGCCGAGGGGGGGACATCACGCCTGACGTTCCTGCTGCAGAAGTGCCCATCCAGGACCCAGCCAGCAGTTGTTCCGCTGAGCCCCGTGTTGGCAGACTGCCAGCTTCATGGGCCTCTGGCAGTATAGACGGCAGGCACCCCTTCCTGGGTGGCCGGCCGCGGGCCCTCCGGCAGGGAACACAGGCCTTGTGCGCCGGGCACAGGGAAACACAGAGCCCTCGATGCAGGCAACTCACAGCGTGTAAAAGGGCAGGATTCGCAGGACGAGGCACACAGGATTTGGGCGCGCTCAGGTCTGGGTCGGTTCTCCCGGGGAGTGCGTGGTGTAGCGGAAAGGGCTCGGGAGTGGACCGGGGACCGTGGGCTCGTGAGCCGTGTGGGGGTCGCCCCCTGTGAGCCTGTGTCCTCCCCTGCGGCATGGGGGTGATGCCTTCCACCCCTGCCCCAACTCACGGGCCCGTGAAGAGGTTACAGGGAGATCCTTCCCGTCAAATGATCTTTATAGCATAAAGCACTGCCTACCTGGTGGTTAATACCACGATGCAGGTGTCGTGGGGATGAATTTTTTTTTCCTTGTGCACAGTTGACACTTTATCGCGGTCTCGCAGGCAGTCTGTGTTGTTACTCTTTTAGTCGTAAGGACCAGGAGTCACTGAGAGGATGCTTGCTTTGACCAGTTTTCCCTGACTGCCTCTGTGGGGTGAGAAGAAAACGGGGGCTTCCCCTTTCGCTTTTCAGCTCGTCTCTCAGGTAATAAATACTCTGTCCACCAGGCATACTTGCCGAGGCCACTCGGTTAAGGCACACTGTAAGCTCGCAACACACTTTTCCCTTTCCTGTCGCTTCGTGGGATCCCTGCTGTGTTACTTGTATGCAGCTGTGAGCCTCCTGATTGCTTCTCCCCTCGCCATCAGCCCATTCCCTCTCCGCACCCCCAGTGGTATTGTGCCTTTCCTTTATTTCTGGTCACTTACAAGAACTAGAACCAGCCACTGCAAGAGGAACTGCTTGCACCATATGGTAGAGAGATTATTTTCTTTTTAAATTGAGAATCAGAATTGTTTTAATGTGAGCCTTTCTCCATTGTATTTTGTTTAAAAAAACTTTTTATGGTTTTTTTTTTTTTTTTTTTTTTGAGAGAGAGAGAGTGCACGAGCATGAGAGGGGCAGAGAGAGAGGGGCACACAGAATCCAAACCAGGCTCCACGCTCCGAGCTGTCAGCACAACCTGATGCAGGGCTCGAACCCATGAACCATGAGATCATGGCCTGAGCCAAAGTCAGACACTTAACCGACTGAGCCACCCAGGCACCCCTCCATTGCATTTCTTTTAAACTAGGGCTTCTTTCCCTGACACTACTAGATGCTAGCTCTGGATAACCCCGTAAATTACAGTGGGCGATGTTTAGGAAATATTCTTCTCTGTACTCAGGAGCCAGAATAAGATGATATTTATCTGGATTCTTTAGACGTCTTAGTGGTAGAGGGCTTGGACATTTTTTCCAAGGTATTAAATTGAGAAAATAAAGGGTAGAGGGCACTGTTGATACTTAATTTTCCTCCGAGGAAAAGAGCTGTGCCCGACGTCGGGATATGGCAGCGGGAAGCTAACATGAGGTTGATACACATTCTCACCTCCCCTAACACTAAATCATTTCCCCCTAGGTGATGCTGTTGTGGGAGGTGAATGGGTAGATTTGAGAATATATCATAGCTGGGGATGAGCCCTGGGTGTTGTATGTAAGCGATGAACCTTGGGAATCTACTCCTGAAGCCTAGAGCACACTGTACACAGTCAGTTAGCTAACTCGATAATAAATTACATTAAAAAAAAAAAAGAAAAATACATCATAGCTAAATTTTCCTTGCTGCTTTCTGACCACGGATTTGAAAATTGTGCTTACTTGTATGTACTTTAAGAAAGCACTTAAAATAGCGAGCATTCAGATATAAATATTTCATGAATGGTCATTTTGGGGAAAGATTGCTCGTCAACCCGATGAGGCTGAGGTAGGGTTGACACCACTCCGAGGTCTTCGTTGAGTGGGATGGCATTGGCTCATTTGGAGCAAAGATGCTGATTCATGTCGGTTGCAAAATTGCTTGGGTCTGGTATATTAGGGATGGAGACTTTAACTCCAAAATTAGGAAGGAAAGATTCCCATGACAGATTCAGTGCAGGCACGGCATAGGTTCAAATTTGCTTCTTAAAAGATAAACGGGTGCCTGTTCAAGTGTTACTGGTTGAAATATGCTGTGTGCTCTGCGTTCCAGGTGAGATTATAGGTCTTCAAAGAGACTGCTTTGTTGGGGGTTCAAATGGAGGTAAATTTCATTTTGCTGGCAGTCAGTCACTCTTATGTTGGAGGTTCAGACAAGACCAGAGCAGGAGAAATCTAAAAATACAATAAATGCGAGTAGCCAAAGTATTCTGTCAAGTTAATATGTGTAATTGAAATATGACCTTTGTGACTTAGACCTCTATGAAAATACAAGCTACACAGCGTACAGAACTGTGGCAGTCCTGGGGGGTGCTGTTGGATTTAGAAGTACTTAGAAGTACTTCTTAGAAGACAGTACTCACTTGAACTATCTCTGGTTAGACTCCAGCACTTTGTGTCCTTGAGTTATTATAGTGGCAAGAATCCCTAGCAAATCTGGTGATAAAGACAGGGCAGTCGCTGTTAAATAAATCCTGTCTTGTACTGTGTCAGATGGGTAAAGCTTCCCAAGTCAAAAGATCAACTCCAGACCACAGACCCCCCCCCCCCCAGATTCAAAGCTGAACGGAAGTCCAGAGCCACTGTGAAGAAAAGAGCGAGTGTCGATCGTATCTCTCTGTGGTCCCTGTGATGTGTTGACATATAGGAAAACCCAAGGGCTCTGAAATTCTCATCAACCACTTCTGAACTACAGTGAAGAGCAGTCTTCATGTAGCATCAAAATTCTAAAACTAATAATTGTGCACGTTGAAAAATCTCCATGATTTTCCTGTTCAGCACTACGTGCTCTCATTTCAAGTATAGTCTCATTTTCCATGTGGAATTACATTATTTGAGGGATTCCCCGCCTCCCCCCCCAAAAAAAAGAGCTGGGGAGCCTTCAGAGATAAGAGGAATATTGGCTTGGAGGAAAGAACTTTAGAGTTTAAAGATATGTTCAGTTTTCCAGACTGAGCATCTGTTTTGCTTAAAAAGGTTAGTTCCCAACGCTTGGGCTGGGGAAAACAGGCTCACGGAAGAAACCACCCACTGAAAGATTTTGTCTCTGGGGAGGGATCGGGGCTGGGAGAGGGCAGGGTGTGGTCCAGCAGGAAGGCCTACTTGGTGAGATTTTCTTTCTTGATTAACTTCCTTCCCAGCTCATCACTCAATTCACATTTCTTTCTGTCTTCTTTTTCCTTTGTTTTTGTTTGAACTAAAATTCCCCTTTTCTGCCCGGTTTGCATTCCAGCAGTCATTTCCATCGTCCCCACATTGCTGTTGCCGCGCGGGACCCTAACAGTGAAACCCGAGGGTGTGCGGGACTGGCGGCTGCACGGCAGTAGCGCATGCGCATGTCACTCCTCCCTGCTGCTCCGCCCACAGGCGTGGCGGTTAGGACCCCTCGCGGCCGGCGGGACCCTGAAGCCAGCGGGTGGTTGGCTTTACTTCACTTTTCCAAACCTGTCAAAGCCCGATTAACATAATGTGTTTGCTTGTATTTTAATATGTTAGCACCTGAGCCCAAGGCCCTGACGGGGCTTGGAGGAAGAGTGTTCTCTTGGTGGTGTGGGCTCCCAGGCCGAGACACGCGTCTCTGCCCCGGGTATCGGAGCGATGGCAGCTTCCTCATGTCTGTGTGTGTGTGTGTGTGTCTTTGCCGTTGTAGAATCCCACCATCCCGATGCAGAAGTTGCAGGATATCCAGAGAGCAATGGAGCTGTTGTCCGCATGCCAGGGCCCCACCAGGAACACTGATGAGACTGCCAGACACAGACACCAGTTTTGGGACACGCAGCCGGTACCCAAATTAAGTAAGCTTTTCTGCCTTCCCCTCCACCGCCGCCCCTCAGAACACAGCCGGGTTGACCACAGACAAAAGCATACTTGTTTTATGCCACAGATTAGAAGTTTACACAGAAGTCGTATTTTTCTTCTTTAAAATATAAATACTGGGTAGTGACGTGGGCTTTCCGTACAAACAACTTTGGAGTCTAATTCCTCTTCCGATTTAAAAAAAAATCCAGTTTCCCCCTCTTGAAACATTAGTATATTTTAAAAATATATGAAAGGGAGGAGCGCCTGGGTGATTCAGCTGTTTAAGCGTCCAACTCTTGGTTTCGGCTTAGTTGTGATCTCACGGTTCATGAGCTCAAGCCCCACATCAGGCTTCACACTGACAGTGCGAAGCCTGCTTGGGATTCTCCGTCTCTGCTCCCCTCCACTGTTTGCACGCACTCTCTCTTTCTCTCTCTCTCTCCCCTCCCCCAAAATTTAAAAAAAAATATATATATATATATAAAAGAGTCTCAGAACCAGTTTTGGTTTTGAACTTTATGGAAGTTTTCCCTTTACATGAATTTTTAGCCATCTCACATCTCATTTATTGCAAAAGACACAGGAAATTTGCCCCATTAAATCTAATTGAAATGGAAAATTTTATGCCTCTTAATAAGAGGCTTCTGCACACTCACCACTGGTGTTAATTATTAGCAGTGGGAGAACACGGCAGCACAGCAAGGGTACCAGGCCCCTCGGGAGGCTCCGGGGCCCCTCGGGTACCTGGCATCTCGGCTGTAGGCCTCTTCCCTCTGCACTTCGCCTGCTTTCTTACATTCACATTGACCTTCTCCATAAACCTCATCTGAAGCGTTCCCTTTTCACAATAAAAAAGATGATATAAATGCACTAAAAATGTTTTATAACTGTACTAAAAGCTAGACCCACTGCTTACAATTATCCTCATGTGAAGATAGATTATAATTATTTCTGTGTTTTTCTTTCTTGATTGTTCAGGTTCCAGTAAGGTAAAGGATTATGTGTCATCCAGATCTCATAATATTTCACTTATGGACAAGTAACCGGTTTTGTCATATAAAAATCCGGGAACATCCTTGTCTGTGCCCTCACATGGTGGTTTTCACACTTTTTAAAGTTATCGCCCTTCTCCCAGCCACACATCTTAGAAAGCAATTATCCTCCCTGGTCTTTTCTTTCAGGCTCTAGAAATAAATGTATTTGGTAGCGGAGGGAGAGTCTAGCATGAGTATACAGGATTTTAAATGCCACTGAATCGCGTGACCATTAGCTAAAGCGATGTAGGCTTATTGACCCGAATGTATTGGATTTAGCTGAGTGCTGCTTGGCAGGCTGTTGGTGGCTTTGAGGTCAGTGCCCCGGGGGACAGGAAAGCCGCCTGTAGCCGGACTATAAGCAGAGGTCCCGGAGGGATTCTAAGGGAGCAGCTGAGAATCTGGCCACTCAGACTGAGTTGACGAAGCCTCAGGTATCCATAGGGGCTTGAGCTGGCGGAGCGGACACAAGAGGGATACACCAAAGGCAGGCGTTAGAAAGACAGAGAAAACGAGCCCCCTTGTAGCTGGAACAGACCCTGTGGCTTCCCCCTGTGAAAAGGTGCTGCCAGGAACCTATACCTGAGGGTCATTAATTCAGCAGATACTCGTTTCTTGTTTTCCTTCCAGCTCTATCTGTTTCTTTATTTATTCGTTGGAGTATAATTGACATAAAGCATTGTTTTAGTTTCAGGTGTGCGACATAGTGATACGGTGTTTGTGGACATTGTGAAATGACCCCCTCAGCCAGTCTGGTTACCACACACAGTTACAGTTTTTCTTTTTCTTATAATAAGAACTTTTAAGATCTGCTCTCTTAGCATCTTCTAAATAAGTCACATGCTGTTCATGACATCTCCAGAACGAACTTGTTTCTATAACTGGAAGTTTGTACCTTTGACCCGCCTTTACCCATTTCACATCCCCCACCATCCCTGACAAGCACCTTTCTGTGTCTGTGAGTTGAGAATTTTTGGTTCTTAGATTCCACATAGAAGTGAAATCATACGATATTTGTCTTTCCCTCTCTGGCTGATTTCCCTTCACGTGGTGCCTTCAGGGGCCATCCACGTTGTCTCAGATGGCAAGGTCTCTCTCTCTCTCTCTGGGAAACGTACCTGGGAAGCAGTGATGGGAAAGGACGATAGGAATGGTGGCCAGGTGGGGGTGGGGGTGGGGGAAAACCTCCTCCAGGGAGGAAAAAGCTTTCATCAGGGAGGTGGGGTGGGGAAAGGGCTGTGTAAGCCTGTATCCGAGAGCAGGAGAAGGGCCTCGCGTGCAGAGGGCAGCCGAGGCCTGAGGGGGGTCCCTGTGGATGGAGCTGGAGAGCCAGGCCGCCTGGGTGGCTGGGTGGGCGTCGTTGCAGGACGAGCCCGGGTTCTCTTCCAGTTGCCCTGGGAGGCCGCGGGGAAGGGACTCGGGAAGGGCGCCTTTGTGGAAATTACCAGAGGGTTGATGACTTCGGCTGCGCTGGCAGCATTCTAGGCGGAGAGCGGTGAGCACCTGAAACTAGGTATAATTTGGCTGGGAGGGGTCAGAGGTCGCTGCAGCCCTTTCCTCCACTCTCGGATCCCCCCCCCAGCCCCCCCACCGCCACCACCATTAGAGACCGTCTCCAGGCTGTGCCCTGCGGAGGCTCTGCAGTCTTCTCAGGCGGTTGAGCCTGAGAAGTCCCTGTCATTCCATAATAAACACCTTGTCACTGCATGAGAGAGGATGTCTCCTTTTATTTAATGGGTGACACAGCAGCTCCTCTCCACTGCCCAGCTGCCCTGGTTCCACTCCAGAAGTGGCCGAAACAGCAGCTTAGTTTCCAAGATTATACTAAACCCGAGGCCCCTAAAAACGGTGGCGCTTCGCGGAAAGGACCATTGTGGATCATCCGAATCCCTTGTCACTGAGTGTTCTGTCTCTGTGTCCCTCTCCAGACGAAGTGATAACCTCGCACGGTGCCATCGAAGCGGACAAGGACCACGTGCGTCGGGAGCCGTACACCTTGCCGCAGGGTTTCATGTGGGACACTTTAGACCTGGGCAGCGCCGACGTGGTGAGTACCCGCCCTCGCTCGGCACCCGCCCTCGCACGGATTGCCGCCGAGGTGGTTGCCAGCGCCGTAGACAGGACGCTCGCTTGCTCTTGTAGCTCAAGGAGTTGTACACGCTGTTAAACGAGAACTACGTGGAGGACGAGGAGAGCATGTTCCGGTTCGACTACTCGCCCGAGTTCCTGCTCTGGTGAGTGGCGCGGGGCGACGGGGTGGGCGCGGGCGGTGGGGACGGCTTGCCTCGGTCTCTCCCCGGCCCTGGGCCACTAACTGGCGCCTGTCTCCCTTGCCCGCATGGGCTTCAGGGCGCTGCGTCCCCCGGGCTGGCTCCTTCAGTGGCACTGTGGGGTCAGAGTGTCCTCGAACAAAAAACTAGTGGGGTTCATCAGTGCCATCCCGGCAAACATTCGGATTTATGACAGGTACGTATTAAAGCTTGTCCATGTCGGTTTTGATGTGTTCCTTTTCCAGAATGGCTGTTCTGACGGGCTTTTGAAATTACTTGTGCAGATTGCTGATGGTGGGGGAGGTCGTGTGTGGGTGTAGGCAGGGGCTTAACAGATCTCTGCTTTCTGCTTAGTTTTGCTCAAAAAGGTAAAGTTGATTTAATCAAAGAAAGCCAGACTGTGAACACCAAAAAAGTGCAGCTCTGTGTCTCTGCTTCTCCTTCATACAGACACTCGATGTTTTTATTTTTAATTTTTTTAACGTTTATTAATTTTTTGAGAGAGAGACCGTGGGGGAGGGGCAGAGAGAGAGGGAGTCACAGATCCTAAAGCAGACTCCACGCTCTGAGCTGTCGGCACAGAGCCCGACGTGGGCCTTGAACCCACAAACCATGAGATCATGACCTGAGCCGAAGTCAGATGCTTAACTGACTGAGCCACTCAGGCGCTCCACACATTCAGATGTTCCGTGTGTGTACACATAGACATGTGTGTATGTGTGTGTCGGAATAAAGCTATAAATAGGTATTTCACACTTATTTCTGGAGAAAAGAAGTTACCTTAATAAACTTTAGGAGAGGTTTTTTAAAAAAAATTTTTGTATGTTTATTTTTGAGAGAGAGACAGAGTGTGAGTGGGTGTAGGGCAGAGAGAGAGGGAGATGCAGAATCTGAAGCAGGCTCCAGGCTCTGTGCAGACAGCTCAACCCCACAAACCGTGAGATCATGATCTGACCTGAAGTCAGACACTTAACCGTCTGAGCCACCCAGGCGCCCCTAGGAGAGATTTTTTAAAAATCTTTTTATCCACGGGATAACTGTGTTACATTTTTGCTCTGGGTCTTTAGCCCAGAAAGTCAGAGAGCAAATGCATAATAGGCCTGCTTACCTTTCATTGTACTGGGTTAGTTGATTTGCTGCTCAAAAGCATTTGATGCCAAGTAGTCTTGGTGCCAAATGGAATGCCTGCGTATCTAGAGCCAGAGCAAGGAATGGGCTATGAAGCTCTGGAAGGTTTACTGTAGCTCAGAAAAATAACCAACTCTCGTCTGGCCAAGGCACCTCTCGGGGACCCCAGGAGTTGCATTATCCTCCAAAGCAAGATCCTACCAGATTCTGCATCTAGGTGACCCCGTTATTGTCCTCATTGCATACATTACAGAAAAAACAGATGTAGAAACTTTGAGGTGCATCTTACCCAGTTTCTAAAGTGAAAACTTATAAAAGATCAAAGTCCTCACGTGTATGTAGGACAAGGAGGTCTGGGTCTCCATGGCCTGAAGTGATCACTATTTGGGCGGGGATGTGGGGGGGAGGGGCATCCGTCTGCGTTTGTGAAATGTCTAAATGAAGGGCTGTTTTTCTTAAAGACTGTAGTAAAGGAGGTCTCTCAGTCTCTTATTCTTTGCAATTTTATGGATGCTGTCGTATTTTTAAAAATATTTTCATCTTATGTTCGCCCTACTTTCTGACATCTTTCTTAGCGTGAAGAAGATGGTGGAAATCAACTTTCTTTGTGTTCATAAGAAATTGAGATCAAAGCGAGTAGCCCCAGTGTTAATTCGAGAAATAACCAGAAGAGTAAACCTGGAAGGTATTTTTCAGGCTGTTTACACCGCTGGAGTGGTTCTTCCTAAGCCGGTGGCCACATGCAGGTAATAGCGCCACACACTCATCTCGAATCTTACCTCCCCGCCATGTCACGTGGCTACCAGGAGGGTTCTCACATGTAACTGGGAGATTGTGCCTTACCTGTTCTTACGTGGTTGGTTTGGTAGCAGAGGTGGAGAGTAGACCTAAGAACCCTCAGACCAGTGTTGTTTCCATTCTACCGTACAGCTACTTGGCGTTAGGAAGAGTGTTTAACATTTTCCTGCTGACGATGCCGGTTCTGTATTTCTGCATCTCTTCCATTGAAAAGCTTCGTACTGCCTCTACCTTGGGGAACCCAGGGCACCGCGATCTTGAAATTGGAATGCCCAGCCTACTACCATTTTCTTTCCTTCCAAACACTTAGATTTGCGTGTTCTACACTGCTCTCAGGAGCTATTCCAAAAGTATGGTAAACACCATTGGAAAGCCCAAACAGATTTGTTTGCTAAGAGTAGGAAAGGGCTCAAGCTCTGTTTTTATGAGTTCATCTGTTCTCATCAAGCTTTCAAAGGTTAGGCCAGTGAGAAAATGGTTTATCACGTTTGTCCCTTGATGAACCTGTTTGTAAAGCATCTAAAGGAGTCTCTCTCCCTTGACTGTTTTGGACTCAAATAAGATGAAACTTCCACTAGACAGTAAAAAAGGTAAAACTGTAAAATGACTTGTCTCCTATTCAGTTAGTCATAGATAAGCTCAACAAATAGGACTTCACAGGTAAATGTTAATACGAATCATCCGTGTATCTAAACTGGAATTACTTAAGAAACTCAAGGTCATCTCTCAGAAAGCTGTTTTCTTTGATGTGCATTATATGAAAGCAGCGGCTACTAATTTAGAGGGGATGTTTTCATGTTTTTAAAAGTTTTTAGTTTGCTTTCTGTAGAATCAGCAGTGGCCGTTAAATACTTGCCGACTGGACATTTTTAACTTTATTTTGCAGTTTTATGATAGCTTTTTACTGGCAGAGATGAAAGGTCACAAACTACAAAGGAATATAACTGGAAAGCAGGACATGTTTTCGATGTAAAAAAACCCAAACAGCTAATTATACAAGAACAGGGCCAGCATCCAACACTGCACGGGGTTGGAGGACAGCAAGGGTGTTCGTTAAATGCCTCTATAACGACTGAGCTGAGGCAAAGAGTTAAAGCTGGTAGAGTTAGAAACCAATCAGATTTTAAAACCTTTGTTGTATTCCAGATACTGGCATCGATCGCTAAATCCCAGAAAATTGGTAGAAGTGAAATTTTCTCACTTGAGTAGAAATATGACTTTACAGAGAACAATGAAGCTCTACAGACTTCCGGATGTAAGTAAGAACGTTCTGCAGTTTTTCGAAGCTATGACGACTAAAGCTTTTAATGTAGAAAATGATTATTTGCAAGAGTCTTAAAAACTGGCTCATGAACTTGAAGATGTGAAGATGTAGCTTTTTAGAACTCCGGGTGAGGAAAACTAGGGGAGCTTATTTGAAAAGTAGGGTGTGTGTGTGTGTGTGTGTTTAAGGCTTTTTAAGTCTTCCAGTTTGTGGTTGGATGGGATTGAACTTGAGACATGTAAGTTTTGAAATTTTGAGTATTTACCATCTGGTATGTAAAAGGAACTAAGGAATAAGGCTCAGAGGAGAGACCAAGGAGAAGAAATAATGTTTCATAAATTATCATCTTTTTAAGCTATCAAATTCCCAACATGACAAGTTGTCTCTTAATAGGGGGAAAGTTAAATAAATGTGTTTACCGGTGTTGCCTTATTTGAGGCTTGGATGGTGTATTAATTTTCTATTGCTTTGTAACAAATTACTGCAAGTTTCACAGTTTTTATTTTATTTCATTTTGAGAGAGAGAGAGAAAATGAGTGCCGGGGAGAGACAGAGAGAGAGTCTGAAACAGTCTCTAAACCCAGTGCAGAGCCCAACACGGAGCTCAGTCTCAAGACTGAGTTCATAACCAGAGCTGAAATCAAGAGTTGGACACTTAACCAACAGAGCCACCCAGGGGCCCCAGTTTAGCAGTTTAAAACATCCATTTATAATCTGCCAAGTTCTGTGGGTCAAGAATCAAGGCCCACCTTGCCTGAGGCCTCTGCCTCGGGGTCTCTCATGAAGTTCTCTCAGGGTATCAGCCGGGGCTGGGTGCCATCTGAACATTGGGCTGGGGTCCACTCCCAGCTCACATGGCTGTTAGCAGGCTTGAGTTCTTGCAGACAGTTGGACCGAGGGCTTTCCATTCCTTGCCGGCTGTCAGCCCGAGGCCCCCCTCAGCTCTCTGCCAGGTGGGACCCCCCGGAGCCCAGCAGCTGACAGCACAGCAGCTTGAGCTTTGCTTCCTCAGAGCCAGTGAGGGAGAGAGAGTCTCCGGGGTGAACCTGCCAGCAGGATGGAGAACTGTGTGTGGTCAGTTCATGGACATGACAGCCAGCTACCGTCGCTGTATCCACTGTTTAGAAGTGAGTCCCAGGTCCTGCCCACTCTCAGGAGGAGCACAGGGGTGTGGACATCAGGAGGTGGCATCACTTGGGGGCCATCTTAAAATCTGATCTTGCATTTGCAGCTTTGATTTCGTCAGGGCTGTTCTTCCTTTCGGGTTGTTAAAAAGTAGTTTGGTGAAGATTTTAGCTTGATCGAGGGATTGGGAGGGCCCCACCTGTCTAGTGGCTTTTCTAGTTGCAGTAGACTCTAGTTCCTTTTGTCATGTGGCCATTGCGTGTTTACCAAGTACCTGTAGCCAGTGGTAGCTACACAAATTGATATATTTTTCTTTCTTTCGTTGTATTTTTCATGTTTATTTTGAGAGAGAGCGAACAGGGGAGGGGCAGAGGGAGAGGGAAAAGCACAAGCAGACTCTGCCCTGTCAGCTCAGAGCCCGACAGGGGGCTCAGGCCCACAAACCGTGAGACTGTGAGCTGAGCTGAAACCCAGAGTCAGATGCTTAACCGACTGAGCCACCCAGGCGCCCCTTGATGTATTTTCTCTGATGACAGACAGGAATCAACTAATTTCTGACCCTAGGCATTTCATAAGGACAGAAGTGGAGGTGAAGGAAACAGGCGAGGGAGACCTGCAGATCATCATTCCGGGCTTCGCAAGCTGGCGGAGGGATCGGAAGGCCTCTTCTTCCCTTGTCTCCTCTGTTGTTGCAGAGAGCGGGGCTCAAGCTAGTGACCTCACCGCCTCTGAGGCCGTGATGGGAGAGGAAACCGAGATCGGGAGAGAGGAAGATAAAAACAGGGAGGCTTCCGGGCCCCAGGGCTGGAGCGGCAGAAGGGAAGGTGGGCGCGCGCGCGGAGATGCGCGCGCCGAGCTGTGGAAGGAGGGAGAGGTGCAGAGATGTCGCACTGTCAACATGACAGTTAATGTTTACTGGCCAGGGGTCTTTTGAAGCTATCGGCCGAGACCCCAAGTGACCCGAGCGGGACAAAGTCCCGTAGAGGCACAGGCGGCCGGGGGCACAGCCGAGACGACGTACCCGCCCCGCCGCCCCGCTGCTCTCTGCGTCCTCCCCCCGCTCGTCTGAAGACCCTGCCGTCTGTGCGGGGCTTCCAGACGATTTCGGCTGGGGGTGCGCGCGGGGCCGCGGTCGTCTCCCCGAATGTCATTCCTGAGCCCAGAGCCGCCGGCTCGTGTGTAAGGAAAGCGCCCGCTTACGTGTAGGTTGTAGAAGGAGTTTTAATACCTGGCATTGGTGTTTTCAGGGTGATTAGAATCTGAGCTGCTAAGGGGAGTTTTGACTTTTGTCCTTCATCCTTCATGTTTTTACCCTAAAATCGATCCACTCAGGTAACAGTTTCAACAGGTTGGTAGCAAATCACTGGCTGGTCAGGCATTGGGTTTTGGTTTTGTTTTTTTCCCAGCGAACTGAAGTGTACAGAGTGCTCTCACATACAGTATTCGTTGTATTCTCACAACAGCCTTTTGAAGCTGGTGTGTCTGACGTGCATGTTACTGTGAGAAGATGGAGGCCCACGCGGGTTGACGCGGGCCTGTCACTGTCACAGACATCCATGTTCACCTGTCAGATCCCGGTGCTCCCGCCATCACCTCTCCCGGGGGCCGGGGGCCGGGGGCCGGGGGCCATGGCTCAGGCCCGCCGGGTGACCCTGCAGGCCGTCACTGCAGCGCGGGTGCGCACAGCCAAGGATGACGGACGAGGCCCGGACGGCGCTCGCTGGCGTGTGCACCGGCCTCCCTGCCCGCGTCCCGTCACAGGGAAGGAGGGAAAAGGGAGAGTAAAATTATGAAGGAAAGGAGGGTCGAAGGGACGAGAGGACAGGTACGAGAAGAGTGGAAGGCCCCCCGCAGCCACCTGAGGGTCCGCCTCTTGAGGCAGAAGCTGGACAGTGCGGGGGCGCCTGGCAGGCTCGGCTGGTGGAGATGCGACTCTTGGTCCCGTGGTTGTGAGTTTGAACCCCCTGTTGAATGTAGAGATTACCTAAAAATGAAACCTTTTTAAAAACATTTATTTATTTAAATGTAAGTTAGTTAGCATACAGTGTGGTGTTGGTTTCAGGAATAGAACCCAGTGATTCATCACTTACGTGCGACACCCAGTGCTCGTCCCAGAAAGTGCCCTCCTTAATGCTCGTCACCCATTTGGCCCATCCCCCCACCTCCCCTCCAGCAACCCTCAGTTCTCTATATTTAAGAGTTTCTTATAGTTTACCTCCTTCTCTGTTTTTATCTTGTTTTTCTTTCTTTTCCCCGTATTCATCCATTTTGTTTCTTAAACTACACGTATGAGTGAAATCATGATATTTGTCTTTTCCTGACTGACTTCTTTCACTTAGCATAATATACTTTAGTTCCGTCCACGTTGTTGCAAATGGCAGGATTTCATTATTTTTCATTGCCAAGTAGTGTTCCATTATATACACATACATATATACACACACACACACACACACACACACACACGCTACATCTTATTTATCCATTTGTCAGTCGATGGACATTTGGGCTCTTTCCATAATTTGGCTGTTATTGATAGTACTGCTAGGAACATGGGGGTGCATGTGCCCCTTCAAATCAGGATTGTTATATCCTTTGGATAAATACCTACTAGTGCATATTGCTAGGTCATAGGGTTTAAAAATAAAATCCTAAGAAAAGAAGAAGCTGGAGAGTGCAGTGTTTACCAGACCACGGCCTCCCCTCATAGGGGCCCAGGTGGGTGATTTAGGCAATCATGTGATTTAAGAACATTTTTATACCATTAAGTGTAAAAAGAAGAACCTTATTGAACACAACCTTTGCTCTGGATCAGTCTCATCTTCTGATTCATCATTACTGCTTCTGCCTCCATCCTGCTTTATGTCTTACTTGTCTTATTCGTGAAGTTCCAAATATAGGAGCTAACATTATCTTGGCCAGAGTGGTACTAGCCACTGCACGTCCACAGTCTCATTTCTCAGGCATAACCATCATAGAGGGGCCAGGCAGTTGCCCCAGTTTCGTGGAAGAGAGCAGTGAAATTGCTCTGCCCCGAGCCTCCTAGGTGGGAGGGCACCGGGTGCCCACGCCTCAGCCTCTTCTGCCCGAGATGCTGGGCTGTTCCCAAGAGTAATGCCTGTCCCTACCCTGTAAACATTGGGTTTGCTTTTCATTTGCTGCTGGTTTTTTGTTTTGTTCTGTTTGTCAGTGCGCATAAAGGTGAAGGCACGTAAAGTAGGCAGAACGCCGGGGTCAGGTGCATCTCCTGCTGTCCCGGGCGGGTTGCCCGCGGGACACCCTTGGAAGACGTGCTTAGACACACAGTGTCCTACCCTTAGTAGCGGCAGAGGCTTTCTTTAGTGTTAGCGTCCTACTGCCGCTTCCTTAAATCCAAGAACCTTAATCACTGCTTACATCTCTGCTCTGGAATCTTGGCTCTGAGACAGTTTACACCACGTAGCTTGACAGAGAACAACACAACTTCTGTTTTTTAATAGAGCGCTGATCCATTTTTCCCTGATGTACTGATAAGCAGATTTTACACATATTTCAATGAACAGAGAGTCCGAGGGATGCATGTTAGTTGGACTCTGGGAAAATAAGTCTGATTGAGATCATAGAGTTTGCTTATGAAATGTTGGATTTTTCTCAGTCACTAGAAATGTCTTTGTTTTTTATTGAATTCTCCGGAAACATGACCACCATCCTCTTTCGGGGTATGTCAAAACTTACCATTTTTATCCAGGCTGAACATGCTCCCCACCTCTTCCAGAGGACTGCAGCTATAACTTGAGGGTTTATCTCACACTTGCACATTTATTTCTGTAGATATTTTGGAGAGTGTTTGACTTCATGATGTTAGAAAGAAGCAAGTTTAGGGCCTGAGACACGTGACCATTATGAGCCAGCATAAGCAAATATTCTTCCTCTGTTTTTTGGGATCTTATATATATTTTTATGTTTATTTATTTATTTGAAGAGACAGTATGAGCAGGGGAGGGGCGGGGGGAGTGGGAGAGAATCCCAAGCAGGCTCCATGCTGTCAGTGCAGAGCCCAGTGTGATGCACAAACTGAGATCATGACTTGAGCCAAAACCAAGAGTCGCTTAACCGGCTGAGCCACCCAGGCGCCCCTTGCATTTTTCTTATAGATGATACAATCCTATGTTTCTTTTACAAATAACTCTTCATAAAAGCACTTGAAGCGTTTATAGCCTGCCCAGCGCGTATACCCTCTCTCTGCCTGTTTGCCCAAACATGGTTCCACTGGGTTTCCCATACCCCAGCTCTGACCCTTGGACACTCAAGCAGCAGCTGTCCAGTGTAGTCCTGGGACCCCTGGGAGTCCTCAGGTCTGTTCTAGACGGGTCTGTGATGTCGACACTCTTTTTGTATAACAGTGAAACATAAGATGCATTTTTTGCTGTAATTATCCTGCAGATGCGCTGTGAAGTGTACCAGAGGTTGTACGGAATGTGTGCTCTAGTATTGGTTTTGTCTTAAAGTTTTCTTGGCGTTAATTTCTAATATGATAGATATGGGTAGATGGAACCCACAGAAGCAAAACTTTCTGGGAATATTCAATTTAAGAGGGTGAAGGGGTTTCAGACAAAAATATTTAGGACCTGCTGCCTTAAAGATGTCTGCCAGGCAGAAGATGTTGGTTTTAGTGATTTTGCAGTATAAATATTCAGTGAATGAGAATCGTCCTGCAGAAGAATGTTCTTGTCTCAGAAGACGCTGGCAAGCTTTTTCTTCACTTCTGAACGTCTGCTTAACCGATGCACATATACTTGCTTTCGTTAGTGATTCTAATCGCTTGATCTCGTTACTGAACCAGTAGCAAAAGAAAAAGCAGTTTAATGTTGAGCAAAGCTACTTAAATTTTACCAAGGTCATCCTGTGGAAGAAAATCATCTTTTTAAATGCATTCTTTCTAGGGATTCCTGGGTGGCTCGATATAGGGGCTCCTGGGGGGCTCAGTCCATTCAGTGTCCGACTTCGGGTCAGGTCATGGTCTCGCGGTTTGTGAGTTCAAGCCCCACATCAGGCCCTGCGCTCACTTGGGATTCTCTCTTTCCCTCTCTCTGCCTCTCCCCAACTTACACATGCTTTCTCTCTCTTTCTCTCTCAAAATAAATAAACTTTAAAAAATGCATTCTTTCTATACGTATTTTAGTTTTCCTATAAGCGTTTAGAAATATACATTGATTATATTTAACAGCATTTGGAAATCACATAGGTTCTGTTTTCCCATGAGTTTGCAGTATAAAAGTGCTACCAGACACTAAAATTGGTTCAGGGGAAATGAAAGAAGAAAAGAATGTTATGCGTGGCTTACACGTAAGTGCCAGGCCAAAGAAATCTCATCTTTGCAGAGCGGACAGTGACTTTTTTCCCTGTATACAGCCTTCATCACACCCTACTAGGTAATGATTGTGGTACAAAACATAGGAATTCATTCATTCACTCATTCATTCGTTCGTTCTTTCGTTCGTTCGTTCATTCAGCACATATTTGGGCTGTTATTGCCCTGCCTGCTTGAGTGATTAGGCATTGGATGGAAGCCAGGACCTGGAGATTTACCCTCCTTTGGCTTTGTGCTCCACAGAAAGGCTAGAAGTATGAGTTCTCTAGGACTTTGTTAAGGACTGACAGTCTCTTGATTTAGACTATTACACTGTATACACTGTATTTTAGCTGCATTCCTGTGTCTTCATTGAGTACATAAATCAGAACAGAATGGCACACAGTAAGGACATGGGGTCTGTAAATACAAAGAACAAATCGCTCAGCCCCCACCAATCAGAAATCAGTCAGCATTGTTTGTCATGGACCCTTGGAAACCTCGGCACAGTCACTGGGATGGATCAGACCAGCACTCAGGATGAAAACCCATTTTTTACCTTGGGCTTCTCCTGTCCTTCTAGACTAGGGCATGCAGGAACTGTAATGATCTAATTTTAGAGGCAGTAGTTAATTTTAAAGTATTTAAAAATAACTTAGAATAGGAAAGGTAGACTAGCAGTATTTATATATAGTTACTTATTGCTTAAAATGTACCCACTATTTAGGGGCACCTGGGTGACTCAGTCGGTTAAGCATCTGACTTCAGCTCACGGTTGGTGGGTTTAAGTCCCATTGACAGGGGCTTTGTGCTGACAGCTCAGAGCCTGGAGCCTGCTTCCGATTCTGTGTCATCCCCTCTGCCCCTCCCCTGCTTGTACTTTGTCTCTCTGTGTCTCTCAAAAATAAATAAAAACATTTTTAAAAAATGTTAATGTACCCACTATTTCTAAAAGAAAATCAAGTTAACTGTACAAAAATTATATTTCTAGGTTTTTAATATTTTGTACAAACAAGCACATGTAGTGGGTTTCACTTCTAGGCTCAAGTGTCCTGGTGTGTGGGCAATTAGTTCCTAGCATAAAGCCAAGTGATGTCTGGAGCCCTTTTGAGGACAAGCAGTTGAACAAATCCACACGGGGACCTGTTCGGACCCTTAGGTTAATTCTTTTCCCTAACAGAATACTGTAGACATCGTGATGCTCTGGAATGATGGTCTCGGATGCCTGGTCTGATCACCTTTGAATCAAAAGACACCACAAGAGCCCGGGGCCAGTTCTTGGCAGCTCGCCATTCATTCCCCTTTAGAAAACACCTGGCTCTTAAAATGCTCTTCCCCACCTTTCTGACCAAAGTGATTTATTTTTATTTCATTTTTGTTGCTCACAAGAACAGAATACCAACAGCCTCTTCACAAGCCATTGAATAAAATCAGTTTCTCAACTCTTTTCATCTGCATTTTCAACGCGTCAGACAGGGCAGTTTTAAAAGGCGAAAGATTTATGCGATCTGAAGAGAAACCAGAGTATATCAGACAGGGCAGTTTTAAAGCACAGTATTCTAGAACACATGCTAATAAGAGTGTTCTGCCCTGTGGTGTGGGCTGTTAAAATTCCAGCACTGGAACAGAGATCAGCTTGTAGTACTCTTCTAACTTCGGGCAGCATTGTCACGGGCAGTACTGACCAAGGATGAGGCGCAGGGACAGAGGGGACAGTACACTGTCGAGCATATATTCTAAGTTAGTGCTTCTCCAACTTGAATGTGTATGCAGATCACCAGGGAATCTTGTTAAATTGCAGATTCTGACTTGAGCAGGTTGTGGGGCGGGGGGGGGGGGAGTGCGCAAGATTCAGCAGTTGTGACAAGCTCCCTGGTGACGCCAAGACAGCTGGCCTTTTATTCCTCTTCTGTTTAAACTTCCCAATTTGTTTTGTTTTTACTGCATCAAGGCCACCAAGACTTCAGGCTTGAGGCCAATGGAACCAAGAGACATCAAAGCAGTTCGTGACCTAACCAACACTTACCTGAAGCAGTTTCATCTTGCCCCGGTGATGGATGAAGAGGAAGTAGCTCACTGGTTCCTCCCCCAGGAGCACATTATTGACACGTTTGTAGTGGAGGTAAAGATAAGGTGATAAGACAGTACAGAGAAATACGTAAACACCTTCCAGTCAAGTCTCTTTTCTAGAAGGATCAAAGAATGGCCCTCTCTTTTCTTGTTTCTCCCTGTTTCTCTGCTTCTAGACTAGATTTCTGCTCTCCCTGATAGAATCAGAATTTCTTCTCACAGTTTCCATTCCTGGAGAAGAGCACATTTTTACTAGTTATTAATGGGAAATCCAGATTCTCTTCTGTTGGTCCCTGTGTGATTAATTGCTTTATTCCGTTCTGAAAATGCCGATTTGGCTGACATACACTTCAAAGTTTAATATCCTTTAGCTTTGCAAAATTGGCTTGAACTGAACTGCGTTTTGGTTGAGATGGCATAATTCAGCCACTTAACCCTTGTTCAGGGGGAAGAAGGAAAAGTGACAGTCTGGATTTTCTGATTATTGGTTAGACAAATTTAACATCATGCTTTTTAAGTGCCCCCCCCCCCCTTTTTTTAAAGCTTGAAATTTGTTCAAATGACGTTTCACTTAGAACCTCTTTCGGGTGAAATAGGATTGGGTTGAAAAGTTGAGGTTTAATCTGGTAAGTACCTGGAGGAGAGGAGGGGCGAGGCAGTGGTTAGAAGCCCTGGTGGGAGTCCACTCACCGTTCGGTTGTGAGCAGTGAGCCGGAAGTGTGTTGTCAGCCCTGTCGCCCATTGGTCTGGATGTGGGATGATAGCCACGTGAGGGCGGAAGCCGGGGAAACGAACAGGGTGAATTCAAAGGACGTTTCTGGAGAACAACAAGCTTTTGTTTCTGAAAACAGTGCTGGAGTGGACATCCTGATGCACAGATCTTTATGCGTTTGTGTAAGTTTCTCCAGGTCAGAAGTTCTCAGAGGTTTTGATCTCAGACTCCTCACTCTGAAGAATTATTGAGGACCCTAATTTTATTTGTTTTTATTTTGCTTTTATTTTTGTGGGTGATATTTAGATATTTATCACATTGGAAATTGAAACAAAAAGGTTTATTATTTTATAAAACAGATAGGGAAGGCTAAATACTATATGCTCTCACTTATATGTAGAATCCAAAGCAAAAACAAAAACACCAGCCAGATGCAGAAAACGGCTTGGTGGCTGCCCAGAGGTAGGGGTGGGTGAAATGGGTGAAGAGGATCAAAAGGTATAAACTTCCAGTTAATAAAATAAGTAAGTCATAAAGATATAATGTACAGCATAGTGTTGTATATTTGAAAGTTGCTAAGAGAGTAGATCTTAAAAGTTCTTATCATAAGAAAAAAAATTGTTACTAAGTGTGGGATGGAGTTTAACTAAACTTACTATGGTGCTCATTTTGCAGTATATACAAATACTAAATCATTATCTTGTACACTTGGAAGTTATATGTCAGTTATATCTTAGTTTAAGAAAAGAATAATTGAAAAAAATACATACTATTTCATTTAATAACAGTATAAGAAGAATAAACATGTTACCTAAATAACATGTTTTTAATGAAAAATCGCTCTTTTCCAAAGCACCAAAATATAAGAATGGTATGTTTTATATTTCTGCAAGTCTCTAACATCCGATTGACTAGAGGACAGCTGGGTTCTCCCACCTACTTCTGCATCCCATCTATTGTGATATATTCTTTGGGCTGAAATATGTGGGAAAAAATCCTTCACATGAAGTATTGAAGATAAGGGAAAGAATGAGTATTTTAACAGCCTATTCAGATCATTGTGACTATTCCTTATCTGAAAGCGTGTTAATGAACTGCTCCTATTCTGTTAGGTTAAAACCCGTTAGTATGTCTTGTCCTTTGATCATCCTTTTATCAGTGTATGAGTTTGTAACGTCATATATGGATCATATATGGATCTGAGTTACAGATCTTCCAAACATGAACGTCTCTCTATACCTTCAGGCTTCTCTTTGAGACGATCTTTATGTTTCCAGACACAGAAGTGCTGTATGTTGCTTCCTTCTAGGCCATCATACAGGATGTTAAAAGGATGAGTTCTTGAGGGTCAAGAGTAATACAATTAATAGTTCTTAATCAAGGACATGCTTAAGTGAAACTTATGTTTAATTGTGAGGGTGTGGTGGTAAAGAGTTAAGTGACCACCGTACACTTCGGTGCCCCTGCCTTGTATTGTGCTGAGCCACAGAGAGCTGTGCCACATTGTCTCCCCATCCTCATGGCAGAGTCCACATGGTAAAGAAGGCAGAGAACTTCCTAGTGCTGTTATGAAAATCGTTTTGATTTCTCGGACTTCTGGAAGGGTCTCAGGCACCCACAGGTGTTCACAGACCACATTTTGAGAACTGCTGCCCTAGGATGCATACTCAGAAGTCTAACTGCACAGTCTAAGGGTCAGACACGTCTTTAAGTATCACTAGAGATTGCCAGATAGCTCACCAAAGTATCTCTTAGCATCGTATGAGAAGCCCTCTTTCTGCACATCCTCACTATCACTTGGTTATTATCAGACTTTACATTTAGGCCAGTCTGATGGATATCATGTGGTCTGTTTTTAATTTGTTTGTATTACTAATGTATTTGAACATCATCTGTTAGCCGTTTGTACGCTGGTCATATAGCTAGCCTGTTTTTCTTTTTAACTGTCATCTTCTTGATTTCTAAAAGTTTTTGTATATATTGAATACTAATACTTGAATTGTGCTCTTTTTCTGGGTCTCTCTTCTGTTCCACTGATCTATGGGGTCTTTTCCTTCATCAACACCACTCAGTCTTAATTACTGCAGCTCTGTATAAGCCTTGATATGAGGTAGAATGATTCATTCTACTTTATTCTTCGTCAAGATTATTTTAATCTATTTCCTTCGCCTTTCCTTAATAAATTTTAGAATAAGTGTGTCTTTGTCTATGAAATACCTTGCTGGGATTTTAAGAAGAATGCATTAAACCTGTATATTAATTTGGGGAGAACTGACAGGTCTTCCAGTCCCTGAACATGGTATGTCTCTGTTTAGATCTTTTAAATGTTATCAGCATCTTATGATTTTCAGCATCCACATCTTGTAAATGGTTTCTTAAGTGTACATCTTACATACCTGACTTTCCTTGGAACAGTTATAAATGGTATTATGCTTTTAGTTTTGGTTTCTGTGTATTCATGGTCAGTGTATAGAAGTGCAGTTGCTTCTTCCGTGTTGATCTTGTATCCTGCATCCTTACTGAAACCAGTTATTAGTTGCAGGAGTTTATTTGTGGATTCTCGGGATTTCTACATAGATAAGAATGTCATCTGCAAATAGGGACAGTTTTAATTCTTCCCATCTGCATGCCTTTCATTTCTTTTTCTTGCCTTACTGCAGGGGGTAGATCTACCAGTACTTATTTGAATTGGAGTGGTAAAGGTCGACATCTTTGCCTTGTTCTTGATATTAGTGGGAAAGCATGCAGTCTTCTATCATGAGGTATGATATTAGCTGGAGATTTTTATAGACGCTTCTTAACAGTTTGAGATGATTCCCTTTATTGCTGAGTTCTTATAATGAATGGGTGTTGGATTTTTTCCAGTGCTTTTTATTTTTAAATTTTTTTAATGTTTTATTTATTTCTGAGAAAAAGAAAGACAGCCTGAGCAGGGGAGGGTCAGAGAGAGAGGGAGACACAGAATCCGAAACAGGCTTCAGGCTACGAGCAGTCAGCACAGAGCCCAAAGCGGGGCTCGAGTTTCCAGTGCTTTTTCTGCTTCAATTGATCTGATCATGTGATTTTTTTCTCTAGTCTGTTGATGTGGTATATTATAAATTGGTTGATTTTCAAATGTTTGACCACTCTTGCATTCCTATAAAAAAAAAAAACACTTGGTTATGGTGTATAATTCTTTTTGTACATTGTTGAACTGGATTGCTGATACCTTGTTGAGGATTTATTGAGTTCATCAGAGATACTGGTCTGACATTCTCTTTTTTTTATATGCTGCCTTTGGTTTTGTTATCAGGATAATATTGGCCTCGGAAAATGAGTTGGGAGGTACTCCTTCCTCTTCTCTATTCCAGAAGAGAACATATAGAATCTGTGATAATTAAATGTTTGCTAGAATTCTCCAGCTGATACCATCTGACCTTAGAGAATTCTTTTTTGTTAAAGTAAGTTCTATTTTTTTAATGGTGTAGGACTATTCAGGTGATTTCTTTCATCCTGATTTTTAGTAGGCTATGGTTTTTGAGGAATTGGTCATTTCTTCTAAATTGTCAATTTTAGAAGAGTAAAGTTGTTGTTTTATTTTCGTGTCCTTTTAATGGCTACAGGATCTATAGTGCTAATGCTTCTTACATTCCTGATATTGATGATTTGTGTCTTCTCTTTCTATGTTTGTCAGTCTTGCTAGTGTTGCATCAGATCACCTGTAAATGATTTCTTTTCCTGCAAAGAACAAGGCTTTTGTTTTATGGATTTTCTCTGTTTTCCTGTTTTTGGTGTCATTGATTTCTATTCTTATGTTTATTATCTCCTTACTTTTCCTTTCGTTGGGCTTATTGTATTCTTCCTTTTCTTGTCCCTTAAGGGATGGACTTAGATTATTGAGGCCTTTGCCTGTTATAGTGTTCTGCTGAAAGAAATCCTAGCAAGAACAGACACGTGCTCTAGCCCCCTCAGCTGTGTATAATTTAGGCAGATCGCGGTTTGAATTGTATGCCAACCGCATAGGCCACCAGTGCTAATTAAAACAACCTCAATAATACCGGCTAATTTCTTGTATTAAAAGGTATACCAGTGATGGTGAAATCAAGACCATCATTTGGGTCACTTTTGATTTTTGGTAGCTTCAGATTCACAGGTGTGTGTCTGGGTGCGGTACTGATGCCTTTCACATGCTTCTCAAAACAGCTTCTAGACTCTCTCCAACCTCATTTTACGCTGATAAAATTCTTGCTTTGTGCTAAGAAGATGTTAGTATGACACAGTGTCTTTTAGTTGCAGAAGATAGCCTTCCGATCGCTCTAGCTCTTGTTTCTGCAACAACAGTCAATCCACTTTCATCTCTGTTCAGGGGTCTAGGGAGACTCATTAGTCAAGCTAAGGGTAACTGGAACATTGAGCTTCTTAAGAATGTTATGCAAATTGCCAGCAAAAACGAGGCTAAGGTCTGACTCCATGCTCTTCTCAGACTCTACCCAACATACCCTAAGGGCCCCCCCAAACCCAGAATGCTGACCGAGAGGTATAGGAATTGCTGCTTTTTGTTCTAAAGTTCCGGTACATGTCAAAAATCAAAAAGTTGGCTTAAATGCTGGATGCAGTTTGTTCAAGAAGGTATTTACCTAACATTACCTTTGTCCTTTAGAACTCCAGTGGTAAACTAACTGACTTCCTGAGCTTCTACACACTCCCCTCCACAGTCATGCACCACCCTGCTCACAAGAGCCTCAAAGCCGCCTACTCCTTCTACAACATTCACACCGAGACGCCCCTGCTGGACCTCATGAGTGACGCACTCATTATAGCCAAGTTGGTAAGCGACTCACTCCTTTTTTGTCCCATGTGTTTCTCCAGACCTGTGTGTCAAATGACATAAAGCCCCTTACTATATTTTCATCCACACAGGAGCAATTCACTTGAGATATTTTTTAATGTTGACCATCAGAGGAACAATTCTGATTAAGAGTTTCTTTTAAAGCTTCAGTGACTTTCTGCATCATTCATTCTAATGCAGCTTAACCCAAGAGACATTCTGTGCAAATTAGAAACTTTTTTTAAAATGTTTATTTATGAGAGAGAGAAACAGAGTACAAGCAGGGGAGGGGCACAGAGAGAGGGAGACACAGAATCCAAAGCAGGCCCCAGACTCTGAGCTGTCAGCACAGAGCCTGATGCGGGCCTCGATTTCATGAGCCTTGAGATCATGACCTGAACCGAAGTCAGACACTTAACCAACTGAGCCACCCAGGTGCCCCCAAATTAGAAACTTTTAACCCTCATATAAGAATGCATAAAACTCATAATACAAATTCTTGCTACAAATAAACGTTTTCTTTTAAAAAGCAGTTGGGGGTGCCTGAGTGGCTCAGTCGGTTGAGCGTCTGGTTCTTGATTTTAGCTCAGGCCATGATCTCACAATGGTGAGTTTGAGACCCATCTTAGGCTCAGCACTGAGCATGGAACCTGCCTGGGATTTTTTTTTCTCTTCCTCTCCCTCTGCCCCTCTCCACTTGTGCTGTCTCTCTAAAAATAAAAAATAATAATAAAAAAGTTGAAATTAGCTAATGATTATTTTGAGGTAATTATTGAACATGAGAAAATATTATTCATGAGAAACTGGGAACAACACGTCAGAAGTGTCTTTGCATTTATCTGGTATTTGGTAACTGAAAATTTTTCCTTTAACATTGTACTCTCAGATCCCCAAGTCAGCCTTACCCTGATTCTTTGATCCTATTCCTCTTTTTCAGCTACTTTCTCCCCCCCAAAAAAGCCAATAATAAATGACTGAAGGTAAAGCTCCTGAGAAATAGAAATTTAGGTGCTTCATCTATACCATGTTTTGCATAGTGTTATTAACATTTTCAAGAAATCTGAGTTTTACTATTAAAATTTTACTAAATTTACTTCCCAGCCCAAGACAAGTATACACTTGAAGTCTTTAAAGCTTTAGCTAAGTCACAACTTCAGAAGGCCAAATAACTAACAGTTCTAGAGATGGAGCCGTCTGGGCAAACTGTTCCTTCTAAAACAGGGACAGAATATTCTCTGAGATCTTAATCGATTATGTCAGTGTTAGCCATCATACTACCGATTTTGACTCGGCATTTCTGGGTAAGCCTCCTGACTCCATAACACTCACTGCTACTTTTATAAGACCATTTCAACGGAGTTCTTCACCCATACGTAGATTATAGGCATTAAACCTCTTCAGTAGAAGTGCATATTCAAGCTGTTAGTAGAGGAATTAAATTTTACACTGAAATACATAATATTGGAAACCCTCTGGTCCTTTGAAATTTAAATGTTTCAATCCTTTTTACATTGGCAGAAAGGATTTGATGTTTTCAATGCACTAGATTTGATGGAAAATAAGACTTTCTTGGAAAAACTCAAGTTTGGCATAGGAGATGGTAATTTGCAGTATTACCTGTACAATTGGAGATGTCCAGGAACAGATTCTGAAAAGGTAAGTGAAGTTGATACAACCCTTATAAACTTCATACATTTACCTAGGAAATCTCATACTTGCTTCCCTTAGGATTGGGAAGGTGTTTCTTGGTAGCTGTTAAAATATACAGATCTGGGGGTGCCATGATGGCTCAGTCAGTTAAGTGTCCGACCTCGGCTCAGGTCATGATCCCCAGTTTGGGGGTTTGAGCCCCAAGTTAGGCTCTGTGCTGACAGTTCCGAGCCTGCAGCCTGCCTCAGATTCTCTCTGGCTCTTTCTGCCCCTCCCCTGCTTGTGCTCTGTTTCTGTGTTTCTAAAATAAATAAACATTAAAAATAAATAAAAATACACAGATCTGTTACACTGTAATTTATTTTTTCTTGCTTACCTGTTCTATTATGTTTCTTCCCTCCCTTTAGGTTGGACTAGTATTACAATAGATGGATATTTCTATTTTTCGAACTCTAACATCATCATTTGTTAATATTCTATTTGATTCCTGGAACTGCCATTCCAAAGAAGAATAAAAGCACAACTTCACCGAAATCGATGTCGTCGGTAACAATCAGAAAAGATGAAAAAAACACCCATATGTGACCAATAGTACATATTTCTAGCTAGAATGTTAATGTTCTTTTTCCACTGTTTACCCACTTGTAGGAGGGATGAAAGGGTACAGAGAGCACATTCCTCTGATTTTCAGACTTTTGGCTCTCTCTTGATGAAGAGAAAGTATTCTTCCTCTCTGTAGAAAAGGGACTGTTTTTCTGTGGACTGAACGGAAGTCACAGAATTGTATAAAAAAAAAAAATCTTCCCTGCTGTGTGGAGATAAACTGCTGCATTTCTGTGTATTAAGCGTGGGTCTGTCTGTCCGTGTAACAGATCGAAGGCTCCATTTGCCAAATGTGTGCTTCCCCACCTTACACAGTGCGATCGGGAGATTTATGGAACCATGACTTGTGTAACTCAGTGGGGAGTGGGGGGCGTTAAGCATACGGTGAGATAAAAAGGTACTGGGGACTCGCAAGTACACTTATTTCTCCAGGAGCAGAGTTGCCAAATAAACACACACAGATTTGTACTTTGCTCTTCGACAGGCCAGTGGATTGGTTCAGAAGCAAAGTTCTGTGCAAACACGGTCTCTGAGAGTCTATACCCGTGGCTGACTAGGCTTTGCTGCTGCTGCACAAACTCGCTCCTCGGCAGCAGCAAGAGATGGGAGGCAAAGAAAATCAAAGCTCTAAAGCCAAAAGAAATGCTCAGTGGAATTTACTAGTGCTATCAGGACATTGATAGTGTGAATGTTTTTATTACTTATGCAAAGTTGCACATGTTCCTTTACGCTGACTTGACTTTATCATGAAGGCTGCCGTGCTAATGGAAAATGTCTTATTTGTAAATAAGTATTCATAATTTTGTTACTGATGGTGTTTTTATCTAGAATTTGAAAACCAGTTTCCTCAGTGTACATATACATGTGTATATTCTTGCCAGTAATCCGGGTGGGGGAGTACATGTGAACGAGGCCACATATAACCTGGCTTTGGCTAAAACACCACAGAGTAGATACTTCTTCCTGCCTTTACTGTACCAGTGCCTAGGCTCTTCAGTCCAGAAAAATTTAATTTTAGACAATACACGGTCTTTCCTTTATGTTGTAAGTGGTCAAATGAAACCAGTCATCCTTACACCAGGCAGGAGCTAGCAAACTATGGCCCGTGAGCTACATCCGGCCCATCACCTCTTTTTGTACAGCCTATGAGCTAAGAATGGTTTTTACGTGTTTGAGTGGTTCCGGGGGCTAGCAGGGAGGGAGAGGGATCAGAGAAAATAACATCTTGTGACGTGAAAATGATAGGAAATGCCGATTTCAGCATTCATATATAAAGTGTCATTGGAACACAGCCACACTCATTTACGTATTGCCTGTGGCTGCTTCACACTACAAAAGGCAGTTGAGTTACTTTGACAAACCTGTTTGGCCCAAAGGGCCTAACGTATTTACTACCTGGCCCTTTACAGACAGAAAAGTTTATCAACCCTGATTTCCACTGAAGAGCTGAAAAGCCACTTTGTGCACATCCACAGCTATGGCAGCCCCGAGACCACCGCTAGAGGGCGCCCGGGGCCCCACAGCAGCGCCTGAGCACAGGGATGGGTACCTTTGTGAAGAGTGAGATGATTCAGACCCAACTGCATTACCATTCTTCCTTAAGGAGAGAGGCTTTGGAAGCAAAACTGAACTGATTCACTGAAACACTACACTAAGAATTAAGTAAACGGGATTTTTTAAAAATTTTAAAAAATTTCCCCGTTTATTCTCCAGAGAGAGAGTGTAAACAGGGAAGGGAAAGGGAGACACAGTATCCCAAGCAGGCTCCAGGGGCTGAGCTGTCTGCACAGAGCCCAACGCGGGGCTCAAACTCACAAACCTCGAGATCATGACCGGAGTCTAAGTCGGACGCTTAACCGACTGAGCCACCCAGGCACCCCAAGTAAATGGAATTTAACTTAATCTGGCATCAAGGCTCTAGCTGGGAATTATATTCCACTCATTTTTATGGCACAGTCTTAGATGATGTAGGTTTTCAAATAATTGAAGAATTGCCAAATTTTATCACCAGCTCACTTCATGATGAGACTCCGGCACTTTTCCTTTGTTTACATAATTCCAGTTGTTAGAGAGTTCCACTGTTTTACTGTCATTTTTTAAATGCAGTAGTTAATAAATGTCACATTTCCCTCTTAATAGTTTAGGCAGATTCCAGTGAATGTTTCAAAATTGAAAATTAGTAAAATCATTTGTGTTTATAAAGTTATCAGGACTAAATTTTTTTTAATGTTTATTTTTGAGAGAGAGAGAGCGAAGGGGCAGAGAGGGAGGACAGAGGATCCCAAGGCGGCTCCACACTGACAGCAGAGAACCCGACACAGGGCTTGAACACATGAACCATGAGATCATGACCTGAGCTGACGTCTGACGCTTAAGCGACTGAACCACCCAGGCAGGCGCCCCATCGGTTTACTTTTTAATTCTCTTCCTGCCTTATTTCAGCTAATTACCGGCCTACTTTTTACCCACATTACATTTCCAAGAAAGTAAGTTAACCACGTAAATAAAGGGGTGAGTTTCAGCCATTCACAATACTGTGCCTGGCTTTTTCTATAAACAGTAAGCCTTTCTCCCAAGCTCATGCATTGCCTGCCTACAAACTTAAGTCAACAGGGAGTTAAAAAAAAAAAAAAGATTTTTTAGTATCTTTCTTTTCAAGCTGATGACACATCTGCAGCCGGCACCCCGGTTTCACCGGCACCACTAACCAGAACCTCTTTACTGTGGCACCTTTTCCAAGTTTGACAGGAAGATGTCAAGTGTTGCGGGACGCAAATTTTCTTTCTTACAAGCACTGGTACCAGCCTTTTAGAAGGCGAATTTATACAGGCATGGACATTAGTTGCAATAAACTTTTGCTATGATATTCATACTTCTGAGTATTTTCTGCACTGTTTTTAAGCGTCAGCCCATCCAGCTCTACAGAGTCTTACAACACATATGAAATGGATGTTGCTAAAAGTATTCCAGAATATACATAAAAATTAGCGCATTTTATTAGTTCCAAGGCTTCTTTGTAAAGTGTCATCTTACAACTGTACAGAATGACAAGTTTATACACGATTACTTTGAAGTCGTTTTTTTACCTTTGGGTGGCTTCCTTATCTTATTGGGGTTTGGAATCAGTTTCTTTATTTTAAGGGGTTGTAACACCACAGCCTGCTGACCTTCAACGAGCTTTCTTTTATGTTTAGAGAGGTCTTCAAAGGACGTTTCCAAAACCTCTCTGTCTAGGCTTTCCAAGGACGCAGTGTCTAAAGTTTCCCCCGAGTCCTCAGGTCTGCCTTGAAGCCAGGGCACGTGTAAGCTGGGTACTCGGGGAATTATGGCTCTGACTTCAGCAACAAAGGCCGTGGTGGTCTTTCTGAACCCCAAGGCCAGGACACACTTTAAGCCAATGACCGGTGCGAGCCTCTCACTGAGCCGGGGAACCTGACAAGCGGGGACAGATCGGCTCAGACTTAGCTGAATCAGGTGCGAGGTGATGCGGGCGGGCTTGGCCGACTTGCACACCAGCACCAACTGCAGCCCGTCCCTTTCCAGAGCTCGGGTGACCTCGTTAACGCCAATGGCGAGCTGCTTCCTGACGTCAGGAGGGGTCCACCCCTACCCCTGCTCACTACCTTCTGGTGGTTTCTCCTTCGGGTCCTCGCTATTCTCAACCTCTGTGCTATGCTGGTCTGGGCTTTGTTTTTTTAAAAACTGCTTTTTCTTTTTCTTCTCCTCAATCTTCCGAAGCCCAAGAGACTGAAACCTGTCTTCAAGCGTCTGTAGTATGAAGTGCATGTCTTCTCTGTCTAGAGCGCTCCAACAGATGGTATAAGGGTTGGTCAGCGAGGTCTTCACAGTTAAAGGCCTCGTCCTCCGAACAGAGCCCCTCCCCGGTGCTTGAGGAGCCGCGGCCATTTGGAAAATCCCTCGGGGAGAAGCAAATGACAAAGGAAAACTCGTGTTACTAGCAGTGCATGTCACAAGACTACCTTGTCTGTACTACTGATTCTCGATGGGCCGTAGCAAGCCTCATTCTACAGAACTCTCCAAGTGACCATATACCGGGCCCCTTTTACAACTAAGGCATTTATTGTCCCCATTTTTTCATGATTATGTCTTTCCTCATATACAGGCAATATACACATGTTTTTGCATTACTGCAATCACCATGAAATTCTATTTATTTCCTTTATTAAAAACGTTCCATGTTTCTACCTGTTCATGATTATTCCTTTAATGACTGTGGTATTAATCTTACAATTTTGCTGACTTTTTCTGAGACGCTGTCCAGTTAGGCTTCCATTCAACAAAACTCCCCCCACCCCCCAGCCCCTCCAGTGAGCAGGTGGTATTCCAGCAGGGTTCAGCAGGGTGCCAAGTCCACGTGCACAGAGCTCACCGGGAGGGCCCAGAAGCCTCCGCCGTTCATGACTACCAGCCAGGTGTGAGTTTTAAGAACTGCAATAGTGATCTATGCACACGATTAAAAATTCAAATGAGATTTTCGTTCTGTGCGCTTTGTAAGCCAGCCGCCCTCCCTCCCTCCCTCCCCAGACCCTAAGCTTCTTGTGTGTCCTTCCCTGAACATCTCGTACAGACTCCGCGGATGTCCCCCTTCCTGGTTCTCCCAAGCGGACTGCTGCTCTGGCTGGCAGTCTGTTGAAAACCACGGGGATTTTGTAATGAAACTTAAAAGTACTAATCCGCTAAAGAAAAACAGGAAGCCTCCTCCTTGGGAAAATGTTGTAAGCGCTGATGTGGGGAGCACGTCCCGGTCCTTCCCAGAGCAAGTGCATTTCTCTTCCCCCGCTTTTAGGCTTCACTTCTTCCCGGGGCTCAGCTAAGAACCATGGTGACCTGCGTGGCAGAACTGAAGGAGGTTACACAAGCCAGCCCCCAACAAGTCTGGCATCCGGAAAGGTCCCTTTTTTCAGGTAACCAGATGTTCTCCTTCCCAGACAGCCCCTCGGTCCGGGTCCAGATCATGTATCCCACCGAGGCCTGCCTTCCCCAAAATGCCCCCCGCACAATTAAGAATTAAGTTCTCTCCAGTTAAACTTCCCCTCACCCAGGCTGGCTGCTACTGATGGTGGAGTGTGTCAGAACTGAGAAGGCACCTTCTCCGTGTGCTACTGGATTCTCACAAAACTCCTATATGATTACCCAACGTGTGGATAAGAAAACAGCCTTGGCTTTAAGTGCCTCGCCCAAAGGTTTTCCGGGCCCCCATTTTATGCTCTTCAATCCTGGCTGCGCCTCAAACATAACCCTTTGCCTTTTAAAACATACAGATGGGTTGGTCCTTATACCGAATGTGCTGAACCGGGATTCCTGGGACTGGGAGCCTGGCACCTGTACTTGTAAAAAGCTGCTACAGAACCGGGTCACGAGCTGCTGGCGCAGGGCTGTGTTACACTGGACGGCCTTTGGAAATGGCCTCCTGACCTCCACTGCTCTCCACGGCTCCTCCTGAGTCACCTCCTAACCGAAATCCAAAATTCAGCTCCTTTGGGCAAGGTGAGGCCCCGTTCGTGCCAGTGCTGCCGGCGCCTCGGTGCCCGCGGCAGAAGCCGTTCCTTCACGCAGCCCCTCCGCACCGCACCGCCCTCCTCGTCCTGCATGCTCCCCGCGGTCCCCTCAAGCTCTGCGAATCGGGAAGTGGGGACCGGGCGAGGCGGGCGTCAGCTTGAAGTGGCCAGGAAGACGCACAAGCAAGACAGATCTGATCTAACAGAGCTCTTGCCAAACTGCCAGTCCGTCCGCGGGCCTCAGTATTCGAACAGCATGGAATACTTAAATCCTTCAGTAGATACTTACAGTTGTGTGCCCGGGAGGGGAGGGCAGGGCATGCGTGAACCCCTGTCTTCAGAACGTAGCCGGGAAGACGAGAGCCAAGTAGTTCCGCCAAGCAGTCTTACGTCACACAATCCAGAAAACAAAGCAGTGACTGATGAGAAGCAACCGTTTCGGATGAGAAACACAGGAAGGCCTTGCCGAGGTGCCTTTTGCATTATGTCTTAGAGGCATCCATGACCTAGAAGATCAAGTGCAAACCCTTTAAGGTGACACCCAAGGCCCTCCCCACTCTGGCCCCAGTCTCCCCACCAGCCTCTTTCACCTACGAGCCCCACCACGCACCATCACAGCCGGCCGCGGAACCACTTACTATTTAACGAGGCCACCAGTCTCTCAGCTGCACACCTTCGTGCACACTATTCCCTCTGCCTGCAATACTCCCACCTTCGGCCCCACTACCACCGTTCTTTCCTCGAGTCTTTCTGGATTATCCACAGCGCACGGGGCCATAAAGTATCAAGTAAAAACCGTTACTGACCTCACTGAACTTAGAATCCATGAAAAAGCCATACCAGCAGGTAATAAAATAAGAACATGTGCACACTGAAATCCAGGAACTACAGGATACTAAGGAAACAGCAGAAGCCTGGCTTACTTGAGGGGGTCAGCAAGGAGGTCCCTGAGAAAGTGAGCTTTTAACCTACATCTGAAGAATACCTGCCAAAGGAAGTAGGAAGTTCCAAGGGGACACATTTCACGGAAAAGAAGTAAGTTCAGTGTCGCTGGGGCAGAGCTGCTAGAGATGCTGAGGTAACAGCAAAAGTCGGCAAAGACCGGTGGGTGAAAGTCCTTGCGAGCCTTGTCATGGGAAGGGACCGTAACGTTTAAAGCAGAAGAGTGGCGTTATTAGAAAAGCAACGCAGCAGGGGCGCCTGGGTGGCTTAGTCGGTTAAGCGTCCGACTTCCGCTTAGGTCATGATCTCGCGGTTCGTGGGTTCGAGCCCCGCGTGGGGCCCTGTGCTGACTGCCAGCTCAGAGCCTGGAGCCTGTTTCGGAGTCTGTGTCTCCCTCTCTCTCTGACCCTCCCCTGCTCACGCTGTCTCTCTCTCTCTCCTAGAAATAAATAAAAAAAAAACATTAAAAAAACCCAAAAAACAGAAAAGCAAGATCTTCGCGGATCCCCGGCCTGGTGGAGTCCTCTGCCAAGAGTGGAAGGGGCAAAGGGGTTCTCAGAGGAGACCTGACGGTGGCCTGCACTGGAGTCGCCGCGGAGGGGAAGGCACTGAGATGCATCCTAGATGAAACTGTTAGGAGCTAGAATCCACCCGGCTTAGTGTCATCAACCCGGAGAGAAGCAGAGGAAGGACTCCGAAATGCCTTCCGGTCTCCGGATCCGGTGGCAGAGGGGAGGTCAGCCCCAGTTCCGGGGGCTGCATTCCTGTCCCAGAGCCACCCCCTCCCTGTGCACGCCGCCCCCGTATCTAGTACCGTCCTTCCTCAGGACTTGGCCTACGCAACCGTGGTTACCCCGAGGTCCGTCCCCGCTTCTCGGCCGCGGAGCACTGAAGGACCGGGGGGGGCTCTGTCTTACTATCTCTCGTACCTACAGACGCTCAACTCAAGCAGGACAGAGGGGAGGAAGCCAGGGGCGGGAAGCAGGAAAGTACGCCGGTCCGGGGGAGGGGGTGCGGCCACGGAGACGGGGTTCCCGGGGAAGGCCCGGGGACCTCGCGTGCCCGCCGCCCCGCGGCCGCCACACTCCGCCGCGTCCCAGGCCGGATCCCACCCGGCGCGACCCCCCAGTCCCTCTGCATACCCCTTGCCGGACCGCGACAGCACCGCCTCCACGTGCTTCGCGACGCGCGTGCGCAGAGCCCTCGCCCTACCTGGCCCCGCCTTACAGACGCTCTGGGAGCTTCACATCTCATCATCCCGCCTTGTCGCTCACCACGGGGAGAGTCAGCCCACAGCGTCGCGAGGCCGGAACTACAAAGAGCCTGAGTTTGGGAGCGTGGCTGGGAAGCCCAGGACAGTGTCCTATAGCGGCAGTGCGCAGGCGCAATGTCTGTCTCGCGAGACCTCAACGTTGCCGTGGTAACCCGCCGCTCACGGTCCGCGAGGCTAGGCCTGGGGGCTCTCCTCTCTTCGGTAGTAGTCGCCCGAGGGCTGGTTTTCTCACTCGTCGCCCACGCCCTTTTAACCCAGTTTCTACCTTTCAGAGCCAGGCGGTGTTGGCTGTGCCTCTCTTCTCGCTTTTCTGTATTTGGCTCCCCTAAGGGGACGCAAAACCCTGGTCCTTCTCCCAGAGTCCCCATCTCTGTCGCATCCCCAGTACCGGGAAAATTCAAGATAAACGGGGTATGAGGGATGGTTTGCGATTTTAGAAAAAGAAAAGAGTGCTTACCGGCCACAGTGTAGGCAGTCTTGAGCCCCCTGAGAGAAAAGTGTCAAGACGTCTTTGCGTTCTGCGACAGCGGCTCCGAAAAGTCCTCCAAACGTCTGCTGTAGCTCCCCGACCCGGGGAAACTAACGGTTCTGAATGGAGTCGCTAGGAAGGCGGAGACAACTGCAAAACAGCCGAAGGACATTTGCAAGGTCAGGCGTCTGAATCTGTTGATTTACCTGTGCCGAGAACTTAGAAGAAAGTAGGTTGCTTCTCTTAGAAGAAGAAAGAGAAACTAAGGAGCCTGCTCCCTCCCCACCCCATTCCTTTCTCTTTTCCAGCTCAATTTAGCTCCCCCCTTACTTTTCCTCTTTCAGTCTTTCTCAAAATTTTTCTCAGTCACGGTCTCTTCACTGCTCGTTTTATTTTCCATTTTTTTGGATCTATTTCCTACATTTTCAGTTTTCATCACCTGCATAGTACCTAACTGGCCATAAAGTAAACGAAACAAACAGTGTTCCCTTGGGTCAAAGATTATTGCAGGTGACACAGGGTTAAAGTGCAATGTGATTTTTTTTAAAAAATCATAAACAGATTAAAAAGAATGAAGTTACAATGAGTTTGAGTGTAACAACAGGCTTTTGTTTCATAAAATGAATCTGAGTGGTTCACGATGAACTGCAAACATCTAGTTTTAAAGTAGTCTCAGATCTAATTGAAATGCTAGAGTAATGGGAAGGAAATGTGCATAGATTTTTGTCCCCCTAAGGTTCCAGATTGTATAGATAGATTTGTAGCATCTTCTCTGTTTGCATTCGCTCCATGAGGATTACCTACCACTTACCACCCCCCCGCCCCCATGACTCTGGAGGCACGCTGTCTGGACTGAAACCCTAACTTCCTCCCTGACCAGGCATCTGACTCCTAAAGCAAGCTAATTAACCCGCTCCATGAAGTGATAAAAATAGTACCAGGGGCGCTTATTAGAAGAGATCACCTCTGTAAGGTGATTAGCACAGTCCCTGGCACGTAGAAAGTGCTGGATAAGTGTAACTGTGATGAATATAGGGACAATCTGATTTAAGAGTTACTAAAACTTAACAGTAGCCTCTATGATTTTAGTGTTTGTGTTTTATGTTGAGACTACCAGTATAACTTCCACAAGAATTTTGGTAAAATGAATGACTGCATTTCAAAGAATTTCTCTCAGTTGGATCACACAAACATTGCAAGAAAAAAACCCAAACGCTTCTCCCATGACCCAATTACTTCAACACACATTTCCTTTCAGTGTCTCTTTCTAAGTTGTTTCACATTTCTGCATGCATTCAAATTGTGAAATAATGCAGATTATATTTTGTATTCTGACTTTCTTTCCATAAAACATTTTTTAATGGTTTTCACATAGTCTTCAAATTATCACTTTAACTCATGTGGCGTATGTGTATATATATGAACATATGTATATATAACCTTTTTTTTAATGTTTATTTTTGAGAGACAGAGCATGAGTGGGGGAGGGGCAGAGAGGGAGACAAGCAGACACAGAAACAGACTCCAGGCTCTGAGCTATCAGCATAGAGCCTGTCACAGAGCTCAAACCCACAAACTGTGTGAGATCATGACCTGAGCCTAAGTCAGATGCTTAACGGACTGAGCCATCCAGGTGCCCCTGTATATATAACCTTTTAATGACAGCTGTTACAGTTATTTTGGCCTGTAAAACCTCAATTTGGTCTTTGAATAATACGGTTTACTTTTTACATTAATTGCAGAATTGGACTAGTGGCAAATTATATGCCTGTCATGATGTAAGAGTGGTTTAAGGGACTTGGTGATAAGTCATGTCATTAGCCCTCTGTGTAGGCAGTGTAAACCTGAGGCATTTCACGTTTCAAGCCATTAAGCAATCTCTAAGCAACAGAGTGGTGACAGTGCCAATATGCATCGATTAAGCCGGTAAGGAGAAAAAGAATCTAATTGGATTTAGACCATTTATTATACCTCTAAGACAGTAAAAGCAAGATCAGCATATCAGTTCCCTGATCCCTAGGCCCAGGAGACAACATCCCTAGGCCCAGAGATGAATAACTATAGGTGTCACGAGTGATGGGTCACTCTGCAGTGACATGCCAACTTTAAACTTCAGCTGAGCAGTTTCACAGACTTACACAGAAACCTGAAGCTGTATATACCGTAAGCAGAGGGGGCGGGAGGCAAGGTGAAAAGCATTAGTCTCCATTAAAACTAGACAAATGGAAGAGAAACACCTTTTTTAAAAATTTTTTTTTAAATGTTTACTTATTTTTGAGAGAAAAAGAGAGAGGGAGAACAAGTGGGGGACGGTCAGAGAGAGAGGGAGACACAGAATCCGAAGCAGGCTCCAGGCTCTGAGCTGTCAGCACAGAGCCTGATGCGGGGCTCAAACGCACAATCTGTGAGATCATGACCTGAGCTGAAGTCAAATATTTAACCAACTGAGCCACCCAGGCGCCCCAAAGAGAAGCACCTTTGTGGGAGTCTTCCACAAGATAGGGACCCTCGCTCCGGAAGAAATCTCAGGCATTCTGCCAATTCAGTCAGGCCTCACCTACATGGCTAGATGGAGACAAGCAAGGTCATCAGGGGAACTTGGCAGAGAGCTATCCTATTAAAAAAAAAAAAAGGAAATTTGAAAGATCTTAAATGGTCAAAAAGCTCTCTGGGATGTTCTATTTTTTTAAGTAGATTCTATTTATTAGAGTTTTGTTTATTTTTTAAAGTTTTCTTTTTTTTAAAGTAACCTCTACATCAAACGTGGGGCTCAAACTCATAACCCCAAGATCAAGAGTCATGCACTCCACTGACCGAGCCAGCCAGGCACCCTTGTTCTGTAGGTCAAGGACTGATGTGAATCTAGGCTTTAGATTTTCTATAGGTCCTAAAGAGCCAGCACCAGTAATTTTGGAAATAAAGTGTATGATATAAAATCAGCTGCAGGTAACTATTCACAATGTGCCATAGATATACATAAACTTAAACCTATAATTTTAGAATTATTTGAAGTAGACATTTATATGAATTAAATTATCACAGTTCTTTCTGAGGCAATATGAGAACAAGTGATTGAGAAGCCCTTTTACGGCAGAAATGTATAAATATGTCTGGATGTATTTGGTAAAAAAAAATATAAATAGCATTTTACTTTGTTTCACCAGTTTTTATTGAGCATCTTTTATATGTCAGGCAATGTGCCACATGCTAGATACATAAGAATGTTTCTTTCCTTCTTTTTATCCACAAATAACAGTATTTATTGAATTCTAAGTGTTAGGGATAAAGCAGCGAATCGATGTGCAATTGGCGGAGACTGACAATAAAACAAAATAAAATATATAGTATATTAGGTGATGAAAAGCACTTCAGAAAAAAAATTAAAGCAAGAAAGGGAGGAATCGGGTGCTGGGGGGGGGTTGCTAACCTTTAAGGGTTGTGGGGTGCCATTTCAACCAAGATGTGGAGGAAGTGGAAGATTAGCAGGCAGACACCCAAGGAAGAGTGGGGGAAGACTAAGGCCCTCAGGCAGGAGTATGCTTGACCTATTAGAAAAGGAAGGAGGCCCAAAGAGCAGGGGGAGCTGTTGGAAGGAAGGTAAGAATAACAGGAGAGGAGAGAGGTGGCTGCTGGCTTGTAGCCCACACTAAAGATAATTCTTACCATTGAAGGCTTCCTGGAGGAGGTGCAACTCTTGAAAGAGAGGCTGGCCAATTAAGAAGGTGGAGAAGAGTATTCCAGACAATGAGGCAGTAGCTAGCTTTAAGCCTGGATACCCAGGGTGGGATGTACATGTGAGGAAGGAGAGAAGTGAAAGATGAGGTTGAAAAGGTCGGTAGGGCCTGAATAATCCTGGACCACCACATACACTATGCAGAGGCTATTCTAATTAGTGAGCTCCTGGGTGGCACAGTTGGTTGGGCGTCTCACTTTGGCTCCGGTCATGATCTTGTGGTTGGTGAGTTCAAGTCCCGCATCGGGCTCACTTGCTGTCCATCTGTCAGCACAGAGCCCACTTCAGATCCTCTGTCTCCCTCTCTCTCTGCCCCTCCCCTGCTTACACTCTGTCTCTCTCTCTCTCAAAAAAAAAATTTTTTTTAAAAAAGCAACAGAAAATATCAAGTGTTGGTGAGCAATACTGTGAAATCAGAACCTGACTACATTGCTAGTTGGAATGCAGAAGATGCAGCTGCTGTGGGAAACAGTATGTCAATTCCTCTAAAAGTTGAAATGTAGAGTTATGGTATAATTCCACTCCTAGGATATACCCAAAAGAATTCAAAGCAGGACTCAACAGATACTAGGATCTGCTCATAGTTGCATTATCCACAAGAGCCAAAAGGTAGAGACAATTTAGATGTCCATCAACGAATGAGTGGGTGTCATGTTTAGATACAAGGAAATATTATTCAGCCAGAAAAAAGAATAAAGTACTGACACCCAATACAACATGGATGAATTTGAAACCCATTATACTAAGTGAAATAAACCAGTTGCAAAAGGACAAACATTGTGCAATG